TTTCCGACGGTTCTAAGCCCGTATAAAGTATGAAGGACAAATTGGAGTCTATCTACGTAAGTACTCGCTAGCTCGCGCCTATAGGTATACTTATTATCAGCTGCTGTTAGCGTCAGCGGTGCGCGGCGGCCGCCGAAACGCGCACGGACCTGTTTCATTCATATAAGATAATGAATGAATGATCAGTCCATTACTACTTTCCAAGTCGATCGAGTAAAAATGAATATTAAAACTGAAACTTTTTTTAAGACAACATTACAATTGATTTAATCATTTTTATTGGTACTACAGATGATTCCAAATTAAAATGTTTCGTTTCCAAAACGCCTATAAAATCACCGTGTATATACAGGCGACGATAGCTCATCTGGCTCGTCATCAGAAGAAAATGATTGATTTCACTTTTCTTGATTTTGTTGTGATTGAGCTAAATTTTTAAATTAAAGACAAATTGACATTTCTTTCCATTGTATCATTTCAAATTGCCTATAACATTAAAGTTTAAGTTATATGTTCTAATTATAACTTAAATCCGAGATATATAGTCAAATCAATCAAATACTCTACAAGCTTGAATCGATTTATCGTAAGTATCGTGCACCGAGTCGTATGGTTAATCACTAGTTACGCCACCATGACAAATGTCAAAACTTCTTATTTTGTGACAACTGAAAGTGACGGCGTTGTATATCCTATTCCTATAGAATCTGAGCAAAAACTGCAACATAAAATATATTCACGATGCATGCCTATGCAGCCTGAGTCTCTTGCACTTCAGGCAGTATATGTATATATCTGGGCAGTTGACAGTAAGCTTAATTTTCCGATAAGTATTTGCGACCTTTTATTTTTCAGGACTGATCCTTCTTTATTTGTTTTCTTTGGCAATATTTATATTAGAATCTGAACTAAGCTAGTAAAAATAATGTCGAAAAGAGGAGGACGCACATTAAACAGCCAGGCTCGTGAGTTGGTGGTTAAATTACATCAATATTTCGAGCGTGAGTCTCAAAACGGTGGGCCTCTATTGTCAGTTACACAAGTGCAGGATCGTGTCAGTGAAGCGCTTGGTATTAGTTGCCGTACAGTAGGCAGAATTATAAACGAAAAGTATGGGCCTTCGGGGACTGAGGATAACGTACTTCACACGCCAAAAAAAGGAAAAAGAAAGAAACCTGTGACAGGTATCGATCAAAACTTAGGAACCACAACTCAAAACGAAAATTAGGAACCATAGGAATAGGTATAATATATATGGTTATTTCACAAGAATCGAATTTACAATTAATAACTTTGCAAGATGCCGGTTTTACAAAAGAAGTATAGATATAGTCATTGAGAAGAATCATATTATGAATTGGCTTCATAAATATAAAATTTGACAATCAAAAAAATATTATAGAGCAGATCAGAAACATAAAAGATCATATACATACCAAATACATAACAAATATCATAGTACAGCCGGAATCCAGCTAGAAATTCGTCTTCCATTTAAAATAAAGGCATTTTCTTGGCTCACAATCTGAAGAGGTGGCAAGCTGTAGAGGAGGCCCTTTCGGGAATTCAAGATACCTTATAACCAGTGTGAATTAAACTATTAAGGAGTTTTTTCTACTAGGATTGTTTAATGAAGGCTATCATTATAAAGTACTGAATAATCAAATTTTTATTCAATGCTTATTTTTTATTTACTCTCAAAACGTGTGTACCTAACAAAGAATGTGAAGTGTCCTATGTAAACAACAACAATATTTGTGGTGCAAAATCTGAAAAAAAAAGGAACTAACATTTTGTTTGAAAAATCTGCTTTTAATGGGAAAAGTAGAATCACCAAACTAATGTATGTAATCAGCTTACAACATTTGCTGATGGAATGTGTCAAGAATAAAAATGAAAGAGAATCATTACCTGAATTCAATTAAAATGAATTAGATGTTGGACTAACACAGCATTTCAGCAAATCTAAAATCTGAAGTGGCCCAAAAATTGAGAAGTTTATTCTTCTTCTTGTTTTAATGATTCTCTTTATAAGGTGATCTAATTACATATATGTATAGTAGTTAATAAGACTGCAGTTACATTACAATTATCTACTAAACAGTAGGTAATAAGTTAGTATATGGTACAATGGAGCTGGCATTTTGGGCCTGTTTTGCGTTCCCCTCATTGTACCAGTGTTTGTTTCTAATAGATTATGGATTTAGTTAATTCTAAACAAGCTTTTGCTGTCGGCTCTGCCTGTGTAAATGTCAATCAATCAAAGTATCTTTTTACTAAATTTCATTTAAATCAGTTTATCAGTTATTGATTCCTCAAACTTCCCATAAAGGATAATTTCTAGGATAAAAACTATCTTATTCAGGAAAGGACCCCGGGACTAGGACATTCTGTTTACCAAATTTCATATAAATCGGTTCAGCAGCTTAAGCATGAAGAGGTAACAGAAAGACAGACACACTTTTGCATTTATAATATTAGTATCTATGTCATTAATATAGGGGTAACAAGGTAAGCGGGACCGGGAGAGGTTTAGAACTCTCCGCCAAAACGGCCCGCCAGGCCCGGGAACGGGCCAGGTACCGAAGGCGAGTCAGGCGCCGGAGGTCGCGGAACGACCTCCGTCCTCCATAAGCGCAGGCCTGGGTGTGACAGGTGAGGCCATCTGTCACTTGCCGCTTGAAGCCCGCTTGCTTCCAGGGAGCAGAGGGAACATGGGGTTCCCACACGGGGGGGTCGTCTACTCGTCTGTAGATGGCCCGAGGTATGTCGGGGCACCAGGGACTTCCTTTTTAGGGTATACCTGGTTCCCCGGCTATTAGTACCCGAGACGGCGTGCGGTTTTAGTCGGTTTGAGTCCGACATGCTACCGATAGGTGGTATCCGAGGGTGCACCAGGGACTTCCTTTCTAGGGTATACCTGGTTCCCCGGCTATTAGTACCCGAGACGGCGTGCGGTTTTAGTCGGTTCGAGTCCGACATGCCACTGACAGGTGGTATCCGAGGGGATTTCCGCACGGGAAAAGAAAAAAAAAGGTGGTATCCGAGGGGATTGCCCACGGAAAAAAAAAAGGGTAACAAGGCGCGGACCATTATTTGACTACACGGATCGCGTAGTGGTTTAAGCGGTCGCCACGCCGATTCCTACTACCCCGAGTGTTGTGGGTTCAAACCCCACATAGGACGACACTTTGTGTGACCCACAAATTGTTGTTCTGAGTCTGGGTGTTTTTTGTGTCCGTTTCATGTACTTTTTTAAGGTCCCCCGCTACACAGGATATATTCATAATGCGGACGTTGTCTTTAAAAAAAAACTGTATGCAATTTACATAGTCTGATCATATTCTATCAATCAAAGAAAGGCATAATGTCATTCATATCAGCATTTATTGAAGTAAACATTGCACACTAATTAGGTATCTATGCGATTTTAAAACTAAATTAGATTATAGTACCTAGGTAAAAGTAATAATGTTAAAGAATTAGGTACATTTTAAGTTTAATACATATTGAAATATAATATGATTTATTATTTATTTATTACATTCCATTTTTTATTTTTCAAATACTGATACCAAAGAAATGAATAAAATGTGCTACATATTATTTTTTTAAATCTACAGACGTGTAAAAATAAAAAAAAAATCCTAACAAACAAAAATAGTGTTATTTATATCTAATTTAACGTGAGTACGGTCATATTAAGTTAAAAAATATATGGAAAAAGGTATAACACCTTTATATATGTGGGAGACATGGACGTATAAAAAAAATCGGACAGTCTCGCAAACAAAAACTGTCAGACTGTCACTCATAGTCGGACAGCATACTGTCTGTCTACTACGCTCGCAAACATCAAGACAGCGAGACGCATTATGGGGCGAAAACATTTAAATATACATGTTTTGCGTAGTGAAATGCTGTAAAAACCGTACTGACCAAAAGAAAAATAATCCAGGAATCACGTTTTATAGGTAAATGAATAATTCAATCACTTATTTCCAGATTTGATACATTAAAATTAATCAGCATTCGCTAGAACAAAAAAATCATTAGAAACCCAGTGTTGCCAAATTTCACGTGTGCAAATTACCCGAAACAAAGGAATTATTTAATAGTTACTACTAGGTATACTATTTCATATTCTTTTACTAAATTTTCTGAGGAAAATGGAGTATGGAGAAATGATTGGATTCAAATAATTACGAATTGTGGTGAAAATAAAGACAACTCAAATATATACTCATAAAAATTCTAGAGGTTTTTTTGGCAATGAAAGCATTTATAAGTATAAGTCATATTAAACATGTAACGGTAAAATATTAAAAGATCCGGTTTCATCACATCTCGAAATTAGAGGAAATTTCAAGAACCTTTCAAAAACATTATTATAATTTTTTTTTATTGCCTGTGTTTTTAGGACATTTGGGTAACTTGACGACCCCTAAATTGATTCACACACAAAGAGTTGTCCCTATTACGGTGCCTCAGTTTTGTCTTAACGGGAGTTCTGTCCGACTTTTTTTATACGTCCATAGTATGAGTGGAAGAGTTATAGCCCGGGTCGACCGGAGGCGAAAGGTGTCCCTGTTTTGTCACATAAAATCAGGTGCTGCTTGTCTGCTCCCTATTCCTTAAAAAAGTCTTGTAAAAAGGGCAAGTCATCAAGTAAACAATGCAAGTCATTTAAGAAATTATGAATCACTTCGAAAATACAATCAAAGTAATGCTACGATATTTCCAAAAGGCTTTAAAAAAATAGAAAACAATGAGATAATTTAATAGGTACTGATAACTGTAGGGAGACACAATTTTGAACGCAAATATAGTATTAAATAAAAAAATTAACGTTAATATTCATAAAATAACAAATACAATATTCGTACCAAAATGTGCAACATGTGCATTTAGTGTAGGTAATCACAATAAAGAAAGTGAGTAGATATATTAGTTAGAGAAAGACGTTATTCTGTGATATATCTCAAGAATTGATAATGTGATTAGGTTTCACTTTTCTTTATTTCACTAGATTTATCATCCTCGTCTGGTGCAGAAGCAGGAAGTGTCACATGATCGGACCTTTTCTTACTTGTATTGATGTCCGAAATGCGACCGATTGAGTGGCCTTTACGTCGTCCCTGTAAGAATTTAAATAAACTTTTAAGGAACATAATATATTTTAACCACACCACACCACACCTTGTATCTTTGGAAGTAGTCATACTTTTACACAATTTTACTTTTCACAATCTATGAAAGATATGAAAAATTTAACCCACTCCTAATTATTACGTGAAATGAAACTATATGTACCTACGTTGGTAATTGGTAATAAACCGTTTACACGCATAGCGAGCCTCGACAAGTGTGCCACACAAGCGTGTAAACGTGGTGTTTAACTCGGCTCGCGTATGCTCGTCGTCGATCGGTACTGGTGTCGGATTTTGAACACATCAAAGGAAACTCGCGGCAAGCGTTTGCGACGTATTTACACGTTGGCGCGTACTTGTTCCCTACTGGTCAATATGATATTACAAATATTGTAGTTGAGCAGTCAGGAATCAACATTAAGTCTCAATGTTTTACTGATTGTGCAGTTTAGTTGAGCAGTAGGGTTAGAGAATATTTTTTTTGTTTAGTGTCGCCGTTTATATTTTGAATAAATATATGTCCACGTCTGCTATGTTTGCCTGTCCGGAACACAATAGCACACGTATCCGGAACACAATAGCGGCACGCATGTAAACTAGGCTTAAGGTCTCTGTGTTCGTTACTTTATAATTCTGCTAAACTAAAAATATACTTTTCTTAATTTTCATACAAATTTGATAAAAAGCAATAAATATAAAAAAATACAATCTTCTACACCATTTGTTTTGGAAGGTTGTGCATGCATGCTTCGGCCTTCGGCTTTCGGCAACATGTACTTAAGTCGTGATCAGCTTGGATGTACTATGGATGATGTTTGGCCGGCTCGACCGAAGTTATCACTTCGTGGTATCCCACGGCCACATAGAAAACTGGAGTTAAGAATGTCTTTCGTTGCTTGATCACCGAGTGAGTGTGGTTCAAGCTGCCCCCCACCTCTCCTTCATACTAGGGACTCAAAGCGTGGCAACGTAATTATATCACTTGAGTTGCATAAGTCAATGGGCGGCGCTAGTCACTTACCATTAAGGTGACCAGTCTACTCGATTGTCCCCCATGTCATAAAAATCATTTATATTTCACATGTCAACTTCATGTTTCATGTTTTGGAAACCGAAATGACAGAAAATAATAGTGTATTGTTGCATCTTGGAGTTACTTTGATCACAGGAGGTGCATAGTGGAACTTTTCAGGGGCCACTCTCCACAACCTCTGTTTTTAGGCTCACATAATACGTTTGACGAGAACGGATTGATTTTGGTAACAGTGAGCTGAGAATTAAGTCAGGAGGTAGAAATGTGTTTTACGTAATTCGAGTCGTCAATAAAGCGTGTTCTTTTAGTTTTACTAAACTTATATACTATAGCTAAAAGATCACATTAGATAATTCAAAATATATATAAAAAGTTAAAATGTAATTTTTACAAATTAAAATTTCTATCAAATATCAATCCATTATCTTTAAACTTAGCAAAAATCCACCTCCACTTTCTAACGTGAACAGAAAAAAAAACTTTTTCTATTCTAAACGAATAGAAAAATAAAGTACTTTTTTCTTAACTTATTAATATAGCTTCACTTACAGAGTCTAAAGTTCTTATAGAACTTTCATATTTTAGATTTAATCTTGGTGTCGAATGCATAGAAATGGCTTCTTCAACTTTGTCTTGTATTCTTTTATTTTCGTCTGGGTCGAGTAGTTGAGCTTTAAGACTGTCTATGACTAACTTCACGATGTATTCCATGTCATCTTCGTCCAGTTCAACACCACACTCTGTAAGGAGATTGTCATATTTATCAGTCAAACCGCCGCTCCTGATGGTTTGGGGGACGCGGGCCGGGGGTGCATTCAACCAATTAGCTAGTGCGTCGGTGTCCGCCGGCAGTGACTGACGTGAAAGCTTTGCTGTACGTGTTATTTTTCTAAAGACTGCTACACACGGTATTATTTTGCAACATGGATAATCTGCCGACTCTGAAGATTTAAAAACTTGAAGTTCGGCTTACAGATGTTCTACTGTTAAAGTTCTAATAAAGAATATTTATTATTTTACTTAATTTTTAAATTGTATCTGAATATAATTTACATGATGAAGATAAGGTGATTTTAATAAAATTATTTTACAGTATTAAATTTTACAATTAATCATAAAAACTTAGAATACACTGACATTATAAAACATGGAAATAAATACGATTTTTAATACATCGTGTGTAGATTAAATCTCAAACAAATAAATCTGAAGATATCGAGTTAGTACATCGTGTCATGTATAGTCGAGCGCATCACCCGCCCCGCGTCCCGCAAACCATCAGGAGGGCCAAGCTTACGGCGGTTTGACTATAGTACCAAAATATACGAGAATCATATAAAAGTTTTGAAGTTCATAAAAAACAGCGAAATTATCTTGACAGAGAACAAGCTCCGAGTCAGATGGGTGAGACACTCGTCTAATCTCGTTTAAGTTATTAACCTTGAATGAGGTTCTATGAGCTTTTTTTATCTGAAAACACACTTGAAGCTTAACTTTTTACGTTTAATTAACGTAAATGTTGTGCGGTTTTTGAGTGAAGTTGCTAAACACTGAAATACCTACAGATTCGAGCATGATGTTGATGCATTGATGTGAGCCAACCACCAAAAATCTTTCATGAAAGTAATAAGCTTTCCATGTTTTGAATATCCAAATCAAATCAAATCAAATCAAATCTTTATTTGCCAACCAAGTGTACATCAATGATCTTATAATATTATATGTAGTAGTCCCAACTCAGAAGCCTTCTTCAGGCATTGCAAAAATTTGAGAGAGAACGCAGAAGAATAAATTGTTACACAAGTACAAGCATTTTTTGAACAATACAAATTAAGTGACTTAATAGTACAGTATAACAATCAAATAAAGCATGCAAAAATACGAAGGCACCCGACATTCTACATCACTAATACATATACACATTTTCCTACTGTCCCTAGCATTTCCGAGCATCACGACCGATTTTTCTTTTTATGATTTGTACTTAGGTATATGCTTTCTGTTTTCCGTGTAATAAGAAATGTAGTTTGTTAAGTGTTTTTTTCCTCAATGTATTCTTTAACAGAATAGAAACATTTTGTAATTAAGAATGCTTTTAGTTTTTTAATGAATAGTGTAGTCTTCGTTTCATTTTTTATGTGGATAGGTAATTTGTTGTATATTTTTACAGCCATGTAGTAAGGGATCCTTTCATTTTATGTTTGGTTATAGATTATAAAGCTGCATCAAGCATGATGCGTATGATTTTTAGAGAATTTGATGAGGAATAAAATGAGACCTGTCTTGTTTCTCTACAATCAAAAGTATTCATTTATTCAATTTTTTAATTAAAAAAGAATAGCTGCTTTATTTCAAATAACTAGCTAACTAGTAGTTCATTAGCAAAAAAATCATTTGTTTATATATGAAAAAAATTATACGCATATTATTATTTTTTTGAAAATATCACGACCAAAATTTATAAATGAAATATTTGTCAAATAGCATAAGGAACTTTGTTAATAGCTGCCTTTACACAAACACTCAATCGCGCGTGAAACAGCAATCGTGCGCGAAAGAGCGCGCCTATAAAGGATGTGGAAGGGAAAGGAAAAGACCACACGCTTGTCAGTCGTGTGCGCAATCGCGTTTCCTCAGGTTACCTTTACATTATAATTCTTTCACGTACATTAGATACACGCAATTAAGTATTAATATTATAATCATGTATTATTTTAATTAGATTAAATTATTAAGTTTAAAAACTATTAAGAGCTTTTCTTTAAGCTCTTCCACTTGAGACCATACGATCTTGCCACTCAAGACTTCCATGTGTATTAAAATATGTTTTATATTGGTCTCTGTTTTGTTTAGCTTCCAAAGTCATGTGAGCGTTAGAACGTCTTTGGAGATTAATTAATGGAACAGAACTCTCACCATGTTGCACTGTGTCTGTATTAACTTCGCCCATTGTGAAGGTAGAAATAGAATACATGAATACTGTGTTTACACAAAAAATTGTGTAAAGTGCAAATAGCAAGGACGACGTAACAGATATTGTTGTGGCTTTTTATATGTATAGCCGTTTGTAATAATCTAAACCTTGCTGCAATTATTCCAAACGCATTTTCTACCACATTACGAGCCTTAACAGTCTGTAATTATAAATCTTTTTCGTAATCGAGTTCTCTCTGGGAAAATGGTTTTAGGAAATTTGGTTCTAGTCCGGACGCTTCATCACCCAAAACAACGAAGTTTAAGTTGTTTACGGTTTCGTTGTTTTTAGGAAAATTGAGATCACCTTATTTCAGTTTACGATAAAATTCTGTATATTCTAATACCCCGCCATAAATGAACTCATAATTAGTGATGTGCCGGATCGTTAACAAAGTATATCCGCGGATACGGATCCGAATACGGATATTTGGTGTCCAGATCCGCGGATACGGATACGGATACGGATCTTAAGTTTCTTACTCAATCGGAGCCCGTGACCTTGATTGTTGTCGCCACTTGACGCTTTGCCATGATATTTAAATATTTCATTATTTTAATAAGCTAATACAAAGATGTTTGATTGATCTCATTATAAAGATAAGTAGCTCTTTCAGTACCTACGACCTGCCTAGTTGATTTAGTGTAGTACGATAAATGATTGCAATACAAAGGTGCCAAATATTTGTTTTAAGAAATAAAAAGTAATCTGAACAGAATTCAATAGTTTTTCATAGCTACCTAATAACCATTATTCAGGGTTATTTTACTGAAAACCTCTGAAGTGCATATTAGTAAAATTATAAACAACAACTTTTCTTCTGGACTAACACCGAAAACGAATGAAAAAAAATTGTTTCTCCATACAAACTAACAACATTTGATTGGTCATTTGAATGGAGGACCAATTTTTTTTCATTTTGACGTTGGCCAGAAAAAAGTTGCTGTTTATAGTGTTGCAAACCCATACCTAAGAGTTTTACAGTGAATACAAAACCTATATAGAATTTCATCTATGTATTGACAGATCCGCCAAAAAAGTCACGGATACGGATACGGTTACGGAACTCTCTTCTCCCTTGGATATCCACGGATATGGATACGGATATCCGGCACATCATTATGAGTCATAATTAGGACCAACCAAAGCCAACAATACGATGCTATAAAAGTTTTTGTAATTATAGTAAAAAGCCCCGGAATGCGGTAAAGGCACAATGCGAATATGTTTGCCAGCCATGGCACCCCCGCATTTCATAAAATACCATTTCTTTTCGAATTCTTCTGCTACCTTGATCCATTCTTCCTTCGTAGACGGCCTCTGAAAAGTAGAATAATAAAGTTATATTTTTAGACTGATGTTGCTCCAATTGCGACGGCCTTGACGGAATAAAAGAAAAGCTAAATCCAACTACCAGCCAGAATTCTTCAAAGTCTGCACAGATACTATCAAATAAACTAACAAGGAGCTTTCGGAGTTTGACGTTGCTGGAATGAATATGGCTAAAAAATTAGGCAAAATGGATCCATTGCAGGCCATTTATGCGGAATCTATAATAAATAATGTTCTACGCAAAGGCTTGTTGAAAAAACTAACAGAAGATACAGATTTATGTGACAGTTATTATAACAAGAACATTCAAAGACCATTATCCGTTCAATCTTCACATTCGAGAAGTTCATATGAATCCCAGTCTTTGTTAACTCAATTCCATCCGTCTACCTATAGTGAACAAAGGCAACAGAACCAGTCAGAAGAAAATCTAAATTTATCTCAATTAAGAACTTATTATGAACATCCAAATTTAACTGATTAATAAGTGTACAAAAACTGATGATTATATTATATAGAAACTAAAAAAGATAAAATTAGACTTTTATTTATAATACGAATAACTTAATACCTTTAAATAATCCAGCCTTCAGCTTTCATAAATAGCTCGACACGTTTCGGGTATTATTTTAGAAAGGGATGGAGCAGATATGCCGGTACTAAATTTCAAGTCTTCGAATGAACGTCCTGTAGCGAGGTATCGAAGGGTTGCTACTAAACGTGCTTCTGCATTAATGCTCTCTCTCATAACAGTGTCTTCTTTGATATTTTATGTCTGATTTTATTTAACAATATATTAAACAATTGATTATTCATACGCAAATAATTCTTGAAATCGTTCGGATAGTTTTCTCGTAATTCTTCAATCAAAGGCATATGACAATATGGCTGTCTATACTTTTTTAACCACACTGAGCGTTTCTTCTTCTTTTTGAGTTGAATTATACCAGTGAACATGATAACTTGCGCCACGCGATATCTTCGATCCATTTTTCACTGCAACACCCGCGTTCTTCAGTAAAACTGTGTGAATTGCATACACTCCAACACGCGCCAGTTTCACGCGATCTATCCCGCACGATTAGCCTTTACACGGCCGCTCATTCCGCTGAGGAAAACGAACGCGAGCAATCGCGCGTGAAAGAACGGGTAGCGTAAACAAAACTTACAAAGATAATCGCGCGCGAATGAGCGTGCAGGCTTTCCCGCGCGTAATCCTGTACGCTCCTGAGAACGCGCGATAGAGTGTGTGTGTGTAAAGGCCGCTAATATCGGGAGTCCCACGACATAACACGGCTTTCTAATTGGTGGGAATCCTTTAAGCAGTTTAATACCACACAGTGAAAAGAAAGGAAAATAATGAAAACTAACACAATCTAAATATCAGCAGGATCTAATTTTATTCAGTTACACATTACGAGGGGTGATCAATAAGTAATGATAATCAATATGAAACAGAACTATTAGATTAAAAAAAGTATTTTATTTTTCAACATAGTCTCCTTGCAAGTTAATACATTTAGTGTATCTTTTTTCTAAGCCCATGATTCCCTTAGAAAAAAATTCTTTGTCTTGACCTTCCCAAAATGCCTCTACTGCGGCCATCACTTCACTATTGTCCTCAAATTTGTTGCCCCGGAGGTGTTCTTTGAGCCGAGGAAAGAGGTAGAAGTCACTGGGAGCTAGATCTGGCGAATAGGGAGGGTGTTCGAGCAGTTCGAACCCCGTTTCTTCAATGGCAGCCATCGCAACTGCTGCTTTGTGAGCCGGGGCGTTGTCTTGGTGAAACAGCACTCCAGCGCGCAGTTTACCGCGTCTTTTTGACTTAATAGCTTCTCGCAATCTTCTTATTTGGCCTGCGTAGTAAGAGCCTGTTATAGTGGCCCCCTTTTCCAAATATGTGGAATATTTGGAAAAGGGGGCCACTATAACAGGCCAGAAAACAGACGCCATAACCTTTCCCGCTGAACTTGACACTTTGAATTTCTTCGGCGTTGGTGAGGAAGCTCGTTTCCAAGTCATTGATTGTTGTTTGGTTTCGGGATCAAAGTGGTGGATCCAGGTCTCGTCCATGGTCACAAAACGCGACAAAAAAAATTCTTTATCGGCCTGGAACTTTTGAAGATTCACCCTCGAAATGTCGACTCGTTTCTTTTTTTGCTCGTCGGTTAACATTCTCGGTACCCAACGCGCAGAGACCTTTTTCATATGCATTTTGTTGACAATGATTTTTTGAACGCTGCCATAGGAGATCCCTGTGACCTCAGCTACATGCCTTACGGTCACCCTTCGATCGGCCAACACGATATCTTCCACTTTTTTGACGTTTTCTCCAGTAAGGGACGTGGAAGGGCGTCCCTCGCGATGTTCATCTTCAGTGGAGGTTCTGCCCAGCTTAAATTCCTTTGCCCAGCGTGCGACTGTGAAATATGGAGGAGCAGACTCCCCCAATGTTTCCTCTAAGTCGCTGTGTATGTCTTTGGTAGACATTTTTTTCAGGCAGAGGTAAATGGATGTATCTTCCGGTAATGGTGTCCTATTTATACATTTTTTTGAAGCTGAAGTAGTGGATATATAAGCAAGCAGAAAAAAAAAATTTGGGTTTTTGTGCGTTCTAGAAATACTCGATTATCATTACTTATTGATCACCCCTCGTACATCATAGATTTCATAACTCGCATCATAGTGAACGGCTTCGGTAGCCGCGTACAACGATTCTTAAGAGCTTTAGGTGCTATAAGCCTACACTATATGTCTATGTCCACACATAATACCTACCAGCAGGCATACAGGGTTTATTGGACAGCGTTGATATTTCCCACGGTTCTGGGAGATTTTTTTGAGCAGAAATGTCTTACCTATTGTTAAGCGGTTGAGTGATTATCAAGATCGAAAGATAAAAGCAATATCTTGAACATTACCTTTCATATCATCAATAACATCGTTAATAGAAATACAATCTATTGAGTCTTGAGTCAGCGGGTGCATGTCATCCATGAGTGCCTTTACTAACGAAGTCAACGTCTCGGGACTATCTGTAATTTCATTATCATATTTCATTACTAAGCAGTTATTATAAGCAATTAAATCTGATCAAAAATTAATGATAGTAAAAATATTTTCTTTTTTTTCTAAGGGTTAAATCAAATTAAGGTGGATCGCACGGCAAAGCATTGTATTACATAGACAACTCTGGTTATAAAGATAACAACATCTTGAACAAATTGATGTGATATTCGTAGGTACAGGAAGGCCGCAGTAGGTTACGCTGCTACGCCATTACCTATAAATATTATATTTTAGTTTCCATCTCATGTGTAGTTTACACATATTGTGATTAATATACGTATGGCCTTCGATCAGTGCCTCACAAGGCTGTGCCCTTGCTGTTTTTTTCATACCAGTATTATGCTGCAAGAAATAAGCAGCATTCGTTGCTATGCGGGTAATAGCCTCGCTTTGAGAGAGCTATCCTAGCTGCCACAGCCGGTTTATAGATATCGAAGTCCAGTTTTGCGGTCACTAAAGGGTAGGCCAAATAAATTTCAAAGAGGCTTGATTTGCCTAACAGATCGAGACAGTACTAAACTCCGGGCTACCGCGGCACCGCCTGCGGCTTCATAGGGTGCAGATTGCCCCGCATATGGAATACTGTTATCATCTCTCAGCATAAAAATTCAAACCTTCAAGGAAAGCGAGTACTCCTACCTCAAAAGCGGGTCTTTTGACTCTAGAGTTGCGGCGTCGTGATAAAAAATAATTTTGGGAAACTTTTTTAATTCAAAGCTCCTAAAATTCTATATATTTCGTTTTTCTAAGCAAAAATTAAAATAATTCAAAGTTCTTATTTTGTCACGTATACTTAATGTTTTAAATGATACTAACCAGCTTCTTCAAACCCAACGGTGTGTAGTAAGGTAGCAAGAGTGGGTCCAATACGTTGAGATAAAGGCATTTTTAAATCCGACACGTCTTTCAGAGCGGTCTCTAAACCTTGAAGCACTTGTGACATTCCTTTTATACCCATTTCTTGCATTTCCTTTATCTGTTGATGTATATGATAATGATAATTCTAAGTCTTAAGTTATCCGGACGTCCCCTTTATGATGAAAGGAAGAGCTGCTAAAAATAGCAATTATATGTACGAAAATGCGAGAATCATAAATTTATTTATACGTACATGCTGTCGCACTAAACGATCGGTCAAACTTGCCACTGCGTCGAAGGCTTTAGTTCGTTTCTTGTACTTACTAGGATCTCCGCCATGACGATAAAGCCATTTCTTTACCAGACTATCTACAACGTCATACCTTGAAGATGCGCTATTGAAATCACACAAATTGATTATTTAAGAGTGACCTAGAATTGAAAGTAAGGAAGAAAGTGGAAATCATCAGGAAAATTATTCTCTCCATAGCCTAGTTGACCCATAAGCGACGCTAAACTTATGGCCATTGAACAGGGTAGGCTATTGCAAAACCCATATTTTAGTTTCGGAAAACTCCACTCTAACTAAACATAAACACAATTGGAAAATTTTGATACTGTATTATATATTATGGATCCTTAACAATGCACTTTATGAGACAATTCCACCTGGTACAATAACATTTTTTTATGATGTGACGATTAACTGTGTATATTTTTTAAGGTTACAAGTGTTCTTAGTTGAAGTACTATTCTGAAAGTTGTAAAAAACAAAACAACATCGCAACATCAAGCTAGTGAAATGCTTGAGAAAATGGGTTAATGTCCAAGTCAAGACTCGTGCACTCTTTTAGCCTGATAGTAAAAACTCTTTTCATTGTTCCGCTATTTTTTCCTAGAGATGATTTCGTTTAGTTGCTCCAATTCATAAAAACCTATTAATAGTGGCGGTGTTGTCGTGTGAAATACATAAATCAGTGGCTTTGACAAGTTTATTAAAGTCCATTGGGAAAATAAAGAAGAGATTATGACGGACAGGAAATTTGATCTTACTTGATTGATGGTAAAACTTTTAATAAAAAATTAAACCGCCGAAATCGGAAGCCGAATGAAAGTTATTGGCGGAATTAAGAGTTTTTAGATTTAAATTTCTTATAAAGAAAAATGAATAAGCGCAAGTACGAGGAAGCTGCTGTAAATGGTCGAGGAATGCCTCAACGGGCTTCCATCTCTGTCATAAGAGTAACTATAGGTCTCAGTCACGTTGTAGTGTTACTAGAACTACAGATGCATTACAAGTTTCAACAGAATCCGCATAATTGTAAAAACTGAGTGTGTGAACAAACATTATTCTTCTATTTTGTACCTTTTGGGTTAGATTATTGATTTACATAGTACCGACTTTAAGGTTTGCGGTATACCGTATACCTACCCTATCTAGTATACACAGCTATGCGTCGGCATTGGTCATAAATAATAAACAAACAGTTTAAATGAGAACTGATTTTTTTTCTCGTCTGTTGAAAATAAAGTAATAATTGTATATTCAAGTGAATTAGAAAGCGTTACATTAAACGAACCCAGAGATTATGTCCGGCAGTCTTTCGTTAATATCTGCGAGTAGAGCCTGGGCATCATCTCGTGTCACACGCATAACGTCTAACGCATCGAAAAGCAGCTTCATTGTATTCACGTCGCTTCCACCACCAACGTATGCCTTCGATTGTATAGGTGATCTGTGTATAATATTTAAAATTTCTCTATTAGTTAACGATTTATTTCTACTTATAATACAGCGTTTTTATATGGGCGTTTATGACTTTGATATTATTGAGCCCTTGTATATTCATTCTTATTCGAATTTCATCGTCATCTCTCACAATCAAGCCTATATCAAAAGTGTGTGTATTTATTTGTGTGTTAAGACAAGGCTTACATAGGAAAATACTTCTTCTTTTTGTCCCTCATACTGCGCGGGCCCATGTGCAAGTAGATGCTGGAGGCTTCGGATTCTTCTCTAGCTCGTTTCGGTATCGCCAAACTAAACGGTGCCGGTTTCAGATGCAGAGCATTTATTTCATCACGCAGTTGCTAAAAAAATACAAATAGTTACAAAAACACTTACTTTCAATTGGTATGTAAATGGTAGTTACCACTATTTAGCGGCTCTAGCGAAACTCGGCTCAACCTATATATCTATAAAGATTGAGCAGAAGTTGAGAATATGTACTGAGCTGCAGAAAACATGAAAACAATTTCCAACTTCAGTAATTATTATCACGATGTCATAAATAAATTGCAATAGTACTGAAATGTACTAAAAACTTAGAGATGTCAATTAATCGGCGGAGTTTAAAACATTCGTGACGATGACTACAACATAGGATTGAGCTTTCTGGAAGACTGCGTTCTTAGACTATATCCGACTTTCTGTAGTAGACCTTTGCGTCGGAATATGGTGTAGTGCCCTGTAGCATTAGTCGTTTCCATTTTTAAGAGAATCATTCTGATCAATCTCTTACTCATGAATATAGCTCACAACATAGAGTAGAATATTATTTTTTGTAACCATATCCACATACGTAGTGCTCTCTAAAAGTTAGTTGTAATTTATTACACGACACAACTTCAGAATGCCGTAGTTTTAAATGTTTTAACTTTTTACAGACGAGAGTTCGCGAAATTTTAACAAACAATGTCAAGATGACTTTAAGAAGTTCTGCAGAATAGTGGTAGCCATATAAAAGTTAAAAAAAAATGATAATTGCAAAGGCATAATCCATAAAAAAAGTTTTGGTCAATATTTGGTATAGATCTCCCTCAGACATAACTGGATTCGGATATGGATATCATGTGGAGGGTTGAAGTCTATTTCATAACAGTAAATTTATTGTTATTAATATTATTTCCCTTTCATTTGTGGTAATTTTAGCGGACTTGTGTACAACACTCTGATTTACAGGTTTACCTTGATTTGTTCTTGTTGCTGGGCGCGTACGATGCGTAACCGTGTTACATCGCGCTCATACTCTTCTACATTATAACCACCCGCCATTTCATCGACGCTTTTCTGAGGCTGTCACGGTAAATAAACAAAATTAGGAATACAGCAGCAAAGAACATGATAAGTGATAATTTTGCCCGCGAGTTATTCTTCGTAGAATAAATATTTCGAGTTTTTTTATTAATTGAGCAATTATGAAAATATTCTAATAGTGATTGTTTATCTACATGTAAATAAGTAATAAGCTTAGTTTACATGATGTTACTCTTTTTTGTATTTTCTTCGTCTTTTATAAGTTTCAAACTCTTGAACAAATAAAAAAGGAAAAATATTTTTATAAATGTACACGGATGTTCCCTTCCTGCCCCGAAGGGCGCGCGCGCTCCGTAGCGCGTCGCGCTATTACCCACCCCGGCTTGCTTCAGCTAGAGTGTCAGATAGCCTCACCTGTCACCCTCAGGCCTGCGCTTATGGAGGACGGAGGTCGCTTTGCGACCTCCGTCCTCCATAAGCCTGATGATGCCCGTGATGCCTCTCGAGCCAATCCTCCATAACGGGTCTTACCTTTCTCGTGTGGAGTCTTATTGCTGGGATCTTAAGTTGTCCCCTAAAGAGAATATCTCTGTTAATTCCGATAGTTCCCACCCTTGTATAATGGGCCGCTCAAATGTGGAGAGCGAGGGGGCGGGGTTGCCTTTGTTCTAATCGCAAAATGATGCAGAAGCTTTGGACTATGGACAGTACTCATCTCCCTTGAGGACAGAACAGCCCTCATCGATAGACATCGCAAGATCGAAGCACTGCGTTCAAGCTGAGAAGTTTATTAAGAGTACACTTTCTACCTGCTTACCAAAAAGCAGGCATATAATAGTTTTCTTTAAGCCTAATCTGGGCGTGATGCGCGGGTTAGACGTAGACAGAGTTATAGATGTAAAAAAATACAATATTGACATCAGTATCGTTTATAGTGCATTCTAAATAACGTTCAAAATCTGTCTGTTGCAACTATATTTTATATGTAGACCTGGCTACTATAGCCAGTTAGTTTTAAAACTATTTGTTGGATTTGATACTCTAATTATTTTGAGGTAATTTTAGTTCATAAAATTTAATTTTTCATCTTTGTTAAATTAGTATAAATATATAGTCTTACGTTTAATATTCTATTATTGTATAACCTTTTGTGGTAGAACATCTGCTTGAATGGCGGCGGCCAATCGCAGGCGATTTGAGTAATGGTTTAGACGTTCTAGATATTTCTTTTCTGTTTCACCCATGCGATCCTGAAAGTCGATGATTATAATAATTTAACACAGAACTTGTTGAACATCTGTACAACGATTTGCTTGTCATCGGAGTCTGTACATATGACTATGTTTATAAGCCTTAATTTTAAATTAGTTAATCGTCGAATTTGAAAACTTCTCCTGAAAATAAAATCCCTACTAAGTACTTTTATTCATTTCATTAAATTCGACCATAATATCGGTTACTGAAAGTTTCTTGTAGCCTAAATTGTTTTGTTTGGTCTTCTACATTAGTGCATCTTTTAATTGGTTGACAAACACGAGAAGTAGTATGAATAGTCCAGTCATCTTTTCACTTATTCATCAGCTAACAAAAGAATCAAGCTCGGAATGAGAGACAATCTACGAACTCGTAAAAGCATTGCTTTTTTTACAATATTTATATCTATAACTTTGTTTCAAAATATTTTTAGCTTCTTAACCATTTAGAAGTGAATGCAGAGAACAAGAAATATTAAATAATAATACTCCATATTTTAATTCAGGAGGAAATTTGTTTGTAGGTACTTATTATTCATAATTTTATGTTCGTTAGTGTTACCACAAACGACGGCACTGATGTAGGCTGAAACTCAACGGAGGTTATTAATATTTATTGATAGCTTTTGCTCGCAGCTCCGACCGCGTGTATGTCGGTATTTACGGTAAAAATCGTTTAATCTAAATCGGTTCAGCGGTTATTATTTCCCCATACAAAGTTTCACTCCACTTTTAAAATATAAAAATTCAAAACCTATCCTATGTCCTCTCCCGGAACTCAACTATCTCTACACCAAATTTCATCTGAATCGGTTTGGCGGCTTGAGCGTGAAGAGGTAACAGACAGACAGATAGACAGACAGACAGACACACTTTCGCATAACTATAATATTAGGAAGGACTTATTGGAAGGAAGTTCCTTCTCGCGCGTTACACGCTCTGAGTGGATGAGAGCGAGACCGAAAAATTTGTAACAAGACTTTTTGCCGATAATTCTTGCTATAGTACGCTTAGATCTTTTAAACTAAGCAACGGATTTTAATGCGGTTTTTACTAATAGTCAGAGTGATCCAAGAGGAAGGTTTACAGACATGCATATTATCGTAGAGAATATCCGATAATTTCAGAGATTTGTAGTAAAAAACATGTTTTTGTGCTCTTACATAGCGAAAGCTGGCTAAAAAAACCTTACGAGATAAACCAAAATAATGTACTATGGAATTGAATATCTTTTTATCAATACATTTAAAACAAATTACGTTGCATCCTTTTGTAAAAGACTGTATATGCTTACTGTTAATCAACTATTAAATAAAATATAAAATAAAAAAAATATCTAAAAATCTCAAATAGATAACTGTTATATGCATTTATATAAAAGAACGACCATATTATCTATTTCTCAATACTAGTGTCTTGAACTGAACCAGCCCCTGATCACTTACAAATTTTAAACTACGAACCCTATACAGCAACTGGGCAAATTCTTCAACAACCTTTAATAGTCTATTGTTGGACATAGTCCTCTCCTTAGATATGAGGTTTTGGCCTACTATAACACGCTTTACACGGTTTAGTATTAAGTTTGTTTCAAGCTGTCCTTCTTTTTGCAGTGCTGTCGTCCTGCGTAGTTTTCTCCCTTAGACGGCTCTTAAGACACCCACGGTATGAATAGGGGTGGTGACACTCAGTATTCTTAATCCGTCACCACACGGATCTATTATCTTAAAGGAATACCTTGAATCGTGACTTAACTGTACTACGAATTTATACATACTACTATCTTATTTTTCATAATATGTACAAATGTGTTCTTATAGAATATTGCAAATAATACAGTGTATTATCTCACCCGCCAGCTGCGTATCTGTGCCCTCAGTTGTGGCAAGATCCCGAAAGTATTGTTATATTTGTGTCTACGTGCCAATTGGCGCAGCATGTCATCGAGCGTTTTGTCCACCTTGCGCGGTTTGCCCAACTTGCGCGTCAGTATATCCCGCATCTGTGCTCGTAATTCAGCCGCTGTCTGCTCCATCGCACGAATGTCGATGTTCATGCGGAACAGATGTGTACGGTTCACCCTAAACATGAATAATAATAATAGCTACTTATAAATATAGACTATGATTTTAAAATGAAACGATCCTATAACGATATTAGTGATGTAACGAATGTAAGATTTCTCACATTCGCGAATACGAATGCCAATGTTGATTATTACCGTTGCCTATATCGCTTCCACTATTAGGCGAGAGAGATAAATAATAGATAGACCCCTCTATCTCCTTCAGCTCTGTGGTTGGCTGGGGTATATGAGGGTTTAAATCGCAGATTAGCTAAACATAGAGTTAAACAGAGACAGAGGGAAATATCGGGCATCTATCCGTATAGTTGCCTGTATCGCTTCCACTGACAGGCAGCTGTACCCCGTGTTCTCTATCTGCTTATATCTCTATGTTGCAAACTCGATAATTATCAACATTCGCATTCGTATTGCGCATTCGTATAATGCGAATGCGAGTGCAAACATCCGTTACCTCACTAAACGATATGATAGTAACTCTATACGTGGATGATGCCTTGAAAATACTTACTTTGGTATATAATTCACTTTGGTATATAGGTCTATATATGGGGTATATATGGGGTTGATAGGCAACATACAAATGAAACTAAAACTATTAGTATACCTGAAATAATTTATAATAAACTAGCCTTTGACATTACTTCTTTCCCATTCTTATTGGGATCGCTAAAAGTAACTAAGCTTCGTCTACTTTTCCAGCTTAGAAACATAAATATATTAAAGTGCAAAGTAATACGAACTTTTGACGCAATTTTTGCTGTTGTATCTCATCCTGTAATTCAAGAACTCTTTTTCTGAGCCTCATGAGCATAGCTTCTGGGAATACCACAGTTTGTGACAGCCCCTGGGGCCCCGTGCACCCCCGGAGCGCAGACGCTCTCATCTGATCGTAACGCAGAATCACAACTTGCTCCACTTCATTCATACAGTTTTGCTTCTCCATCTTGATGACAAAAGCATTTTCAAAAATTTATCAATGTTAAAGTATTGTTGTGTCTAAATTCAGCTGGGAAATTAAGTTGAATTAAGTAAATAGTTTAAGCGGCAGTTGAAGTTATTAAAAAGAACAATATGTAAATAACTTTACACTTTTACACTTTCGCGTTTCAATGTTATAAGATTATTTAGATTTATACTTAAATTAATTTAATAAATAGCTGTTTAATATCTCTTAATTGTATGACGTTTGGACCAGGTTCCACTGTCTCCTGGTCACTAGCTAAGTCAATAATAATGTTGTGATTGTGTTAATTCTCTTATAAATACTTTTAGGTTGGAATTAATAATCATAATGATCTTTATCGAATATTTTCTGATCTCATGCATTACAATTATTACAGTGACACTCATAGACCAAGTACTAACGATAACCTGATGATGTCCTGTAGCTTTCTTTGATTGTAATTCTATTCTCATATTCGATGAGTATGTTATGACAGCCATGATATTTAATATTGCAGCCAAAAAGGCTTAGAGTAGGTTCTTGGAATTATGGTCAAGACTCTTCTTATTTGAGTAAGTATACTGGTAATAGTGGAAGTATTTTATTCTTGTTTAAAATAATGATAATAATATCCATATAACGCACCATAAATTCCTTGAGTTCATTCTTTCTAGTGTCGAGTTGGGATGTTAGCTTGCGCTTGTACTTGTTGTGGTTGTCAATGTCACGATACAGCATCTCGACCATCTTGCCTTTTTCTATAATATCCTGTTCGTGTTTGTGTCTATTTAAAGAAAAAATAAGCGTAAAGCATATTGTAGGTAAAAAGATCCACCAAAGGACTTTATTGCGTTGGCCACCAATAAAGTTGGTGAAGTTAATTCTTTTAAAGTTAGTTCAATTGATTTGGTGCCTATGGCTCAGGACGAAGGATTAGCAAAGCACAGTACTTATTAGTCGACAATTAAGACGTTATACGATTAAGACAGACCTTATGCCTCTTAATTCGTAAGTCTTGTCGTAGATTTCTCTTTCGCATCCTTCTGGGCAAACGTTGGGATCGAGGCGAATAGGACCGATGTCACGGCTGTCCATGCTTCCTTCCTCTTCTTCTTCGCTGGATGATGACTCAGACTCCGATTCAGAAGATTCTGACAACACACAGGTACATTATCCATGCTATAATATTCGTATAGCACTGTAGTGCATTGTGTCTAGGTGTAATTTATTTATAATATATATTTATTGAGAAATACAGCAGCAGTCTGGTTGCCATCTTACAGGTTCTGCCTGGTTTAGAATCAGACAGCCAAGTGTACCTTACACTTTGGTTATTAAACTCGAAAAATACCATCACACTTTGCACACAGATCTGAGAAAATTCTATTGTATAGGCCGATGTAATTAGGTATAAATATAAGGTATTCTAAATTATTGACATCTATCACTCAAACTATTTACAATAAAATTTATTACTGTAGGAAAGTCAGAAAGTAACTTTAAGACAAAATTATCACAATGAGTAATTAAATAGACACCGTCATCGTCGTGATCACGAGGTGGTCGATACTTCTTCTTAAATATTCTTCGCAGAAAATCGGCAAATTTGTTATCTGCGACTAAATGTTTAAACTGTCTTTGAAGCTCTTGGCATTCAACGTCTAGTTCATTTTTCTCGCCTAATATTTCTTCGATTCGGTGTTTACAATCCTCGATTTGCTCTTGGACACCTTTCACCTAATGTATAAACAAATTAAATGTACGACTTTTTAAACATTTGATTATTCATATATATTAAACTATTTTTTTTTATTTTGCAGTGGGGAAAACGAGCATACGGACTACCTGGGCCTCAATACTGCTATTTTAATATTGTATCAATAGACTGTCGATCGAATATCGTCGGAATAGTCGTGGACTTCCCGTGTAACTATGTAAGACCAATGGTCTCCCGATAACTTGTCACTGTTTTTGTAATAGTTTGGTAAAGGGTTCATTTTAAAGAACAGAAATTATACATTTAATTTGCCAGATTCGATAATGTTGTTTGTATCACCATTGATGAGCCATTGCCACTATATTGACAGTATTGACATTGTGAATTTATGTTAGTAGAATACCGATACTTTGACCGATCTCAATGGCATCTTAATAGCGTTTCAATGGAATGACATTGACTTGTACGTTAACATAAAATAGCAGAATTGAGGCCCTGATATTAATTCACGCGAAGCTACCCCTGACACTTACAAGAGAGTCACAAGTGCGTTGCCGCCCATTGAGTCAGTCACTCACTCGGTGAAAAGCAAGCCCTTGTGTCAGTACAGTACTATCAATGGTATTAGTCAATGGTACCATTGACTAATACCATTGATAGCACTAGTGATACCACTTTGTATTATTAATAAAATCAATGAAACTATTGATGCTAGTTTAATAATTGTTGTATCACTAGGCCCATTGATGGTACAAAGAGTACAAAGTTATTTGATATGTTTCTACAACTATGCAACACCTGTTTTTTTTTTGTGAGGCTGTCATCGGTCGAACCGGTCCATTTGTATGGCTTTCCACGGCATAAATCGGCAGTATATGATCTTGATTACTTATTGATTATGATTACTTATATACCTGCCAAGCAGTATATGTTTATAAAATATATTACAAAATACACAATAATATGTAAATAATATTACCTGCATTAGTTTTGAGTACACTCTTTCAGCTAAACGATCTTCGTGGGCTTCGAAACGATTCAACACGTTCATCTCTCTATGCAATTGGTACAAATGTAACTCCAGTAATTGATTTTTTTCCTGTAAAAGAGTTTTTATTCTTTTAAAAGTATGAATGAACCAGCTATAAAGCAGCAAACGTTCCGTGTTGGTCTAGTATTTATTTGTCCTGGGTGCCAAGCGGAGCGTGAGGTCGTATGTTCGATTCGAATCACGACAAATAATAGCGTGATGAACACAAGAGGCAAATGCAAAGAGGAGAGGGCCTAAGCAATAGTGCACTGTGATTCTAACTAGGTCTTGACGTCATCAAAGTGGGCGTGGCTTAAGTTAATTCACTGAGCGCCCGTACTGTGCTAGCGTTTGTGCTGCAATTTGCAACACAAACGCTATTTTTTCGTGATGTTAAGAAGAAAAGGTGTAAATATTATTCGGATAGACGTTTTGTTGCTATGGATTGCATCACATTTCATTTGTTAGTAATTTTATTTGTGAGGCTTATTAAATCAGTTCAAAAATTCTCTTAGTGTTTTTTGAAATATAGTTGACACTAGATGACTAAACTTTGTGTAATAGAAACTAAAAATACAAAGGTACGTAGAGCTTAGCTTTCGTAAAATAATACTGAAATTTGTTATATACTAAACAAGTTATAATACTAAACATTTTTTAATCGCCAAAATAAAATATTAAAATCTTTTATAATAAATTTGTGAACAGACTGTCATCTATCGTCGATTAAAAAAAGATAGATAAACAGAACAAAAAGAGGGGGCCGAAATTGGAATCCAATTTTATTCCAATAAAGTGCTTTTAATATGACAATGAAGGAAATTATAATAACGCTGATTTTTAAGAAATGTTTAAATTAAGCATGTGACATTCTAATTGCAAAAAAAATTAACCCAAGTTATAGTCACTTATGAGTTTTAGCTTATAAAATAAAGCCTCCTTGAAACTAAATACTCTATGTACAATATTCAAAGTAGATTTTTACCGTGAGACATCTATTATAAGAGTTGTAGCTTATTTATTTGAAAGTTATTTTAAGCTTTGGTTGTTTTTCGTTTATTATTTTATTTATTTAATTGTTTTTTATCAGATTGGCGTTAAAAATAGCATTCAGGTGCCTTTGAAATGTTTTTTTTAATATTATTTGATTTGTAAATAAAACTTCATTCATTACTATTTGTATATATTGTTGTTATCCCTCAAAAATGTTAAGTAAACTTAACATGGGTGAAAATCATAACACTTTTTTCGCCGTAGTCGGGTGGCAATAAGACAAAAAAATAAGCCTTACACATAAACACAGATAAAATAAGAATAAATAAAAGAACGAGTTTTAATAGTTTTTCGTCATTTATCATAAACGTTTTTATTCTTACACTAGCAATACCCAGCGCCTATAACTTAATCCACATCACAATCTGTACCCCACATTTTATCCAAATCCGTTAACGCGTTACAGCTTGAAAAATAAACTTTCGTTTTTATAATATCAGGGAGGTTCGTAGGATTATGACTAAGATTTTTGCATAAATGTAAATATCAAGATGGTTCAAAAAAATTAATCTTAAAAAAAACTCACTGGCACGAAAATTTTGAGTACGTCCCCTTACATCCCACAATCAGTGTGAGATAGCTAAACTACAACAACAACATCTCCTCTTTGTGTTTGCTCCGTGGATGAACACGATCATTTGTGCTATGTATATATCCACAGTATGTTTATCAACCTTCTGGTTACTATCGTAAAGGATCTTCTATTTAGTTTAGTATCTCACGTGGTATTGTGTGAGGTATGATATACGATAACGAGAACGAGATAGTAAAGTGCCAGAAAATTATTGAGGTGGTGGTTTTAATTGTTAGAGTGGACACTGTGTATATGAAAAAAAAGTAAAAATAAAAAAAAAACCAGTATACTTTTTTCTAATTATAATTAACTTGTTTGAATACCGATTCTTGAATTATTATCATTATTTAGTATGACATAGTCTGACCTGAACCCGGATTCGTTCTCTTTGCAGCTGCCTTAATCGGGAGTCGAACTTTTGAATTGATATTTCCGCATCGGCTAATAACATATCTTGTTCGTAAAGATGCCTGATAATGAAATAAAAACATTAAATCATAAATGATTTTACGTAACTTTCTTAAGTACACATGTGAAAGGTCAAAAGGAAAGGACAAGCAAAAATAGAACAAGTAAATATGCAGTATTAATCACTTTTTTTTAATAATACTGGTTGGATAACAGTTCTATTCATAGTTGTTCATAATTTATCATTATTTTTTTTAGTGAAACGGTAGCACCGAACAAAAGAGTGTTTCGAGTTAATTCCTCTTTTTTCCTTTTGTGTGATATCTGATTATTTGTAGTACTTTATGAGTTGCAGCCGAATATGCAAACAATATTTTTGGACAGTAAAGATTACACAATTAATTATTTGAATGAGAGATGTTTGAATTGACAGAGTAATTGCAGTAATTGCATATACGAGTACACCTTCAAACGTAAAAACCTACTCATACAGAATGAAAAAAGTGCAAGCGTATATTTAAGTATATATTGTTAAAATCATAATCAAATTTTTAGAAAACCTTTCAATGCGCCGCTCCCGTACTTCTGTTTCCAAGGGAGTTGATTCTTGATCTTGTTTCACTCTTAGTAGTTCCCAAGAAGCAGATAATGGCTTACACTCTAAAAACCAATATAAATAAAAAATAATTAAATAAGTCCATTTTTTTTTGACAGTGGCAGAGCTTCTGAATTTCCCCGCCAGCAATCATGATGGCGGATGAGGAGGGCTGACCGCATCCAGACAAGATTGGGCTTGGGAGAGGGCCGATTCACGGACGCAACTCTGGGATAGAGCTTTGACGTTGATTCAGGGTGACCTTGAAATTATATTGGAGGAGGACCCGGACCTTCCTCAACATAGGAAATCTGGTTTCAGTGGAAACAACACATATTCTTAGCTCCTGCAGCGCCGCGATGGCAGCAGTGGCCGCCAACTCAACGACAGAGTTTTCCACTTCATCATAAAAAAGGCAGTTTCCAAACTGTTTTTAAATTAATTACTTGTTTAAAATTTATTACCTTGTTGATAATAATGAAGTAGGTTATAAAGGTGAGTTCAATAAAGTTTATTTGGCGTTCCACGTATTAAACTGCGTATCGAACAAATTAAACCATTACCGTTAATTGGAACAAATCTATTGACACGTGGTGGCCGTACTCTAAGTCCAAATACTGATTTTTTTCTATCTTCTACTTGTTGTATCTTCTTAGTACTTCTTCGTACTGGTACAGCCACTTTTTCTGGTTTTATCTTTAACAAAAAACAATCGCTAGGGTACCTTCTTCACTGCTGTTATTTTAACAGGGACGTTAAATTAAGAGAGCTAAATTTAGTTTTGCACCGTTTTAACCGTGGCTGAGATAAGGAGACAAAAGGATTAATATTAAATCATCATATTTCTACTATAATATATTGATGAGTCAACAAAGTTGTTTCTTTAATAGTTCGTATTGTCAAATTACTATATTTTAGTAGTTCTTATTTATTTATTAACAGCAACATAGAACCACATTAAAGTTTTCTATCAGCTCACGGATCGGATAGAACTTAAAACCAGCCACATGGACCATTGTTATTTTGGTATCGACTACAACCACGTCAGTCTATGTAACTTTTAAGTGGTTTGATGTAGTCACAAAAAACCGCGTGACTTGTTAAGAATACTGTTAAGGAAGAAGTTATTCGTTTATGATAGTACGAGTATATTGTAGTTACAGACGTACTATGTAGGTAATAATATCTATGAGATGAAATAATATCATTGATAGTGTTGTTGCAAAATAAGCAAAATTTGTGAAAGCGTTTTTCTGACCTTAACAATAGGCTACACGCGATTGGCCAAAAATGATATAAGACCTACGCTGGAAGACTGAATGTATTCTTTTATTCTCCCCGATAGTCTAAATATTTTTAAGTTACATAATCAACAAATATAATATTGCTTGCTATTTTTCTCGCAATTGGTAAACTAACCTCTAGGTGTGTCTCAGGAAATTCCAGTTCTTCATCGATTTCGGGTATAGCCGGAGGCGCTTTCACAAGTTTGGGCGGTATTTCTATCCGTATCTCCGCTAGGCGTTCCCCAATTTCCTTCATTTGTTGCACTAAACGAACTTTGTGCCCACGTAATTGTAATACTTTCAGATTAAATTCTCGTTTAGTATCATAAATCTGAAAGGTTAATGCATAGTCATTGTTATGTTTACTTCTCTGACTGTTGTAGTGTCGTGAAAAAGAAAGCTTCTTTACATACACAATACTTAATTGTACTATTATACGTAAGTACGTATAATTATGAACACGCTATAGAAAAGTGTGCAAACAAGTTTTTTAATGATGAAGTCGAAATCGCATTTAATAGTAATTTATCACTTGAGAAAAAACTTTTACTTTTTTAGGTACAAAGACGAAAGCTCTTTGTTCTCAGTTATTATATATCTACCTAGACATCTATCTCAATCAAATATCTAGACCGACAAAATGGCTCCCTTTGAGGTATTCACGCATGTACCTACTAGGAATAAATAGGTTCATTTATGACTGTCCCCAAAGGGTTAATCCCTGCATTCACGTGGTCACACTTGGTAATCAAACTAATTTGTCCATCAGGAAATCAGATGGTCAAATTGTCTATGATGACGCAAAATACAGTCACCATAAAATTAATGATATTATAAAACAGAGTATACTTTGATTATTGAAATTTGTTTAACGTAATTTATGAATAAAATGACCAATACATATTTCGTTATGAATTAGATTGTAACTAGCAATTCATTACAAATTGGTTTTTGCTTAAATACTCCATGTTGCGCAGAAAAGGTTCGTTATCAGTTTGTTGACAGCAAACGTGCTATTTCTAATCATCACTGTACTCAATTGCATTTGACAATTATAAAAGGAGTCCATTATCCGTGAAGTTTGATTATCTGGCAAAATTATTGTTGTTGGACTAATTAGTTTGACTACCCAGTTTGACCATTTGGACGAAGGGGGTATTAAACACCCACAGTTAGCATATTACACCTTTATCCCATTAATTATTCCGTCACCTCTATAAATTTCAGAGCTACGTCTAGTTGCTATTTATCGAAATAATATTACCTATACCTACCTATTCTGTACCAGTGCCATTATGTTTTATGAGGTAATAAGCAGTTAATGTCGTATAACACAAAAGACCCTTTTTTATTATTTATAATAACGAAAGCTGTGTTTTTTACCTCTTGTCTAGTGATACAAATACGCAATTGTGTATTGTGGCCAGGTGGCGCGACGTAGTCTGGTTGCGTCTTCAGAAGGCGGTTACCGATTGTCGCTTCCGCCTCTTTGAGAGCCTCCTCCGCACCAGGAGGCAAAGCGTTAGGATCCGGTCTCCGATTTATATGTTCTTGAATCTAAATAAATATTTAAAAACTTTGTTTATCGACATAACAGCACGAAAAAATGAATGTTATCAATAAATAGGTAATATCTACAATGTCGAATTACAACGAAAAGTAATAAATTAAAATTAAGGTCAACTTTAGAAAAAAAAAATATGTCAAATGGTAACCATTGGTTGGTTGGTGGTAGTTTTGGTTTTACACTAAGAGATTCCTTATTGTCGCTAAAGCGAAAGCAAAAAGCATCCAAACGACGCCCCCTCTATCGTCCATTCTGAATTATTAATAGTCGACGTTGCTAAATGTGTGGCATTTATTTCCTGCAACTTTACGCTCTGGTCACCACGAACATTTTCAATCTGCTTTTTAAATCCAATTATTTCATATTATGAGGGTTTTCAAAGCAAAATTTACGCTGTAGTATTGTACTGAATAATGTTTTTTTTCCAAAACCGGATATAAAAATGTTGGAATAACGTAAATTTTAAAATATTATCTTTTTCCAAAACGTTTTAATTTCGACCACTGGACAAACACTATTTCTATTAATTCTGTTAAAAGTTACAAACCTCGATGAATTGCATGTGATGTCTCGACAAACGCTGATGATAATTCCTTAGTGCTTTTTTGAGGCAATGTGGCGCGCGTGGAGGCAGACCTAATAGAAAAGATCCCATGCGAGGGGGACCGTACGAGGTTTTTCTTGTACCGATCCGTCGTACAGCTGCCTCTGTCTTTCTGTTATAGGGAAAGGCATTATATGAAAAGGAAGGCAAGTAAGAAATGTTTAAGAATTATTTGTGTTTGAATATTATAAAATATTTACACAATAGCCACATCAATCTAAGTATTTCTCCTCCGTCCGTCCGTCCGGATGTTTGGAGTTATATTTTAAACCAATAATTTAATTGAACAATGAATGACACAGGTACAGTAGTGTAGCAATTTTGCCAGAGGCATTAACTATATTAATAGACAGATAGATTTTACTAGAGAGGCTCGTATTTTAAAATACCTCTCAAGTATCGGTTGAACTCTGATTGCCTGAAACTAGTTTTAAGTGCTGATCAAAACTTAAGTATCGATCTTATTATAGAACGCCTTTTAAGTTTTACTCAGTTGAAACTAGTTTCAAGTATTGATTTGAACTTACAGTCTGTTCTCAATTACGTTTGCGCATGATTGACATTATTATTCCGTATTACGCAGCTGATTATTTAAAAAATACAATTTCTTTTACAAACATAATTTCTGTGAATTTGTATATAGTATACTATTGTCGGTTGTTCGGTCAAAATTAAATATAATAAATATTAAATGACTAGATATAAGCTATAATGGCACGTTCAAGTTATTTATCATCACTTGTCATGTTCAAATGGCAAACAATGTTTTTATATTTATAAAATTATATTAATAATTAGAAATTATATTAAGTTTAAATTTACTTTTAAAATAATAGTATACTTTTAACATATATCAAAAGGTTATAGTGATTTTAATTTAAACAAGTATTGTGTGTGTAAAATGTGAATTGCAGTGAATTTAATGTCAATTAAGGTAAATGAAAGTGAATTGATTATAGTATGACAAGTAATTGTTTTGTAAATAAAGTAAATCTTTCCTAATGATTCAGAAACAAATCATCGTAAATCACATTAATTTCCCCTAAAAAGCCCTAGAAATCACGGCTTGAGACTAATTTCAGCTTATCTCGCGTAAACAAAGATCACAGCTGTCAAAATCTCAGTAAAGATATCGACATAAACATCGATCCACACTCACTTGAGTATGAATCGGTGAATCTCGTTTTAAGTGACGTTCAATAATAAAATCTCTTCTTAAAAATAGTTTTAAGACTCACGACTAAGACACCTTTTAAAATACGGGCCTCAAATACAGAGACTAGATTTTACATTCGTCATTGGACATAAGCTGGTTCAAATTAGTGTGAGTACTATACGATCCATACAGAATTATGCCATAATTTTAGCCTAATATTTTTTTTATAACCTAAGAAAAAAATACTTACTCATCCCTTGTTAATTCTTCCGCATTGTCTAGTAAATTCATATTCCTAGCAGCATGTGAGTTAGAAAGAAATTAGGTAATAATGAAGAACAGTAATAATAATGTTTATGTTAGTTTGTCAAAGTCGACTGCACGGATGGCGTAGTGGTTTAGGCGGTCACCGCTTACTACTACGCTGACTGTTGTGGGTCAGATCCCCACACGGGACAACACTTTGTGTAATTCACAAATTGTTGATCTGAGTCTGAGTGTTTTTGGTGTCCGTTTCATGTATGTTTATGAAGACCCCCGCGAGTTGTCTTTTAAATATAAAAAAAACAACAAAGATCCCAATTCTCCATACATTTGATTTTCTCTAAAGTCTAAAAGACTGTCCTAATCAGTGATGTATACCTATGTATAAGTATATAAGGGAATTAACAAGAAGGTACTATAAAAATAATATATAATCCTGTTACCTTGCTCGGAGAGCAGCTTCAGCCATTTTTATATGCACTTCTTCATATTGATCTCGGAACGCCTTCGACAGATTTTTTTGACGCAGTGGTTTAATCAGCACATTGGGATCTCTATAGCATATTAAACTGTTTTGTATTAAATACTAAAGTAAAAAAAGAAGGTATATACGAGTACTATATGTATGTACCTAATTTTATGTATGTACCGAATTTTACACTACATAACTACGTATTGTAATATGGTAGCACTCTTGCTTTACTTTGTTACCAATGCTTGAGAGAATTAACGATACTTCTCTTTTTTTAGTTAAATACTATTAGCTGTAATATTTTTAACTGGCTAAAAATTAGGAGGGTCTCAATTACGGGGGGGGGGGGGGTCGTCTACTCGTCTGTAGATGACCCGAGGTATGTCGGGGCACCAGGGACTTCCTTTCTAGGGTATACCTGGTTCCCCGGCTATTAGTACCCGAGACGGCGTGCGGTTTTAGTCGGTTCGAGTCCGACATGCCACCGACAGGTGGTATCCGAGGGGATTTCCGCACGGAAAAAAAAGAAAATAAGGAGGGTCTCAATTCGGCTGTATGATATTTTTATGTTTGTTGACACAGTACACCGTCATATATGAACCGATTTGGCAATATCTTTGTTTTTTTTTAAGGGGAACCTTTCCGTTTGGTCCCATTTATAATTAAAGAAAAAAAAAACAAAGCTTAACGGTTAAATTTAAAGAATACAGTTTATTGCAATTATCATAATACGGGCGCATCGAAATCGTTGATACTTTTTAAAACTTAATTATTGTTTGAAACCTTATTTTGTAAGCTTGTCTGTGTACAAAGTAAAGTTGTTAACATTAATTCCGTTCGAGGACCTGTTTTTTAACAGTGGGCAATGTGAGCATAGCTAGCACAAAACAAATATAATTCGTCATAGTTGTAGAATAGTGTCGGATCTGACATTTATTGAAATTTAAAGGCTGTACTTTAAATTTCACAGCCAGCCATTTCAAATAATTATATAATTTTTTTGACATAACTTTTTTAATTCTTAATTTGTAATTAAAGTGAAGTGAAAAATAGAGTTTGTTTTAAAATGCAATAAAAATAACAACTAATAAAAATACAATTTTCTAAAAAAATCACATGCTTCATTTTACTTTGAGCATGTATCAAATAAACACTGAATAATTTAAAATCTGAATCTTAAATACATATATGTTTTTCTTGAATGTAGTAATAATATTTAGACAATGTAGTATCCAAATATGGTCAAAAATGAATTTCGTATTTTTTTCCAAACCTACGTTATTCTACGATCATGACAAATTGTTCATTTACTGTAATTGTCGTACTGTACCTTATAGCCTTCACTGCGAATGGAAACATATCAAGCTGAATAATATTCCTGTTACGCATCTTGTTGAGTCCTAAGGTGGATGCCTCGAGCTGATGAGCTAGTTTCCTTATAGTTAATGCTTTAGCAACTTCTAGTTCTCGCTCTTGGTCTACTAAAGGTCGAGGGTCTAAAGTCACGTCTATTTGCTGGGAGACTGGCAAGGCACGGTTCCTAAGAAGAAATTCAAACTTGGTTCATGTACACTGAAATAAATTTACTTTTAAGATTTAATTTTTCTCCTAGTATTATTGTGTCATTTTCTGTTTATTGTAGTAGGTACTCTTTCCGATCTGTTAACCAGCCACATTTTAATAATACTTGTCCAGTAATGCTAAGTTTGTAGCTCTGCCGATCACCTCTACAGTACCTGGTTGATTGTTTACAGAACATTTTTAAAATTTTAATGAACACTTTCATAACGGAATAAGATGAGTCCATCTGATTTTTTCATAATAAATTGTACTTGACAACTTTAATTGATAAGCTTTAACGTGATAATAATGATGGCCAGATAAGACACAATAGTCAAAGAGGAATAATTGTGTACGGTTAGTAGAATTGTGTACTAAAAACTTACGCTCTGATGAGTTTACTATATTCGATGGTGAGCTCGATCAGTTGGTCTCGAACTCGTTTCTTGTGTGCGTTGGCTATGGCCATCATTTTATCATATTCTTCTTTTTGCTTCAATTGCTCATGTGACATCAATTCACCTTCTACGGTGCTTGGCTCGGCGATTTTTGTCATAACCTGGAATTACACACTTTTGTATGAGCTTTGCACTTGCTGTTGTTACGGTTCGCGATGTTCTATTAAACAAATATGATCAGTTGCGTACTTAACTTATTCTTAATTTTTCCAACTTCTCCGTATGTAACTAAGTAGTTTCCATATTTATTGTGTAACCTCAAAACATTTGGAAGAACTTGGAAATATTAACAAGTTAAAAACGATTTGGAAGATTCGTGTCTCGATTCAGTGTAACGATAGAGCCTTAAAGACTTGGTTAAAGTTCGATCGATCGCAAATACAATTTACCAAACAATGTAACAAAATATATAATGTGTCCTACTAATAAAATATGCTTTGCAACATCCATCTGAGACTATTGAAAATTACTTACTGGTGGTTCCGTTGGCGGCGAGGGTACTTCTGGCATTGGGATCAGGTGCTCATGAAAATTAATCATGTAAGCGAATATGTTACCATCTCTGCCACATGTATACAGCCGTCTGAAACATATGTCTTGTTATATTGACAAACTAGTTAGTTTTTTATTCACATTTTTTGTTTTTTATTCACTTATTCCGATGCAGAGTTGATCTTGATCAACTGCACAACTGAGTAATATTTTGTACACTTTATGGAAATGCAACTGCATGTTTCGAGAAACAAATGTACCGGTGGCAGCGTCGATACTCCAGTTTGAAGCCTGATACCGTGTGTGTTGTGATGTGTTTTGTCGTGTTGTATATGTGTATAAGTTTATGTATGTAGTGAACTGTATATATCTTCTTTGATTACATAATATGTAACCTCTGGGCACCGTCCACAGTGCTTCGTCAGTTCTCTTCCTCCGGCTCTGCTTTGAATATTTACCTTTGTCTTGGGTAAAGAAGCATAAAAGTCTTTGTTAAACACATAAAATACTGTTTCCTTTTTTCCAATATATCTAAGCTATTGCAGCGTAATAGTATTACAGCAGTCCCACTAAAAGGCTCCGGCAGTGTCATGATCAACAGCCTTTAATAGTCCATTGGCATATGTCTCTTTTTAGAAATGAGGTTTTACTAATGTACTAAACCTTTACTCCGCAATAATGTCCAATTGTCAATACTCAATATAGTGGCTACCAATATGCAAAAAATACTATTTTTATAATGGTCAGGGTCATAAAACACCAAGACGTTGCTTATTGAAATATCTAATCATCAAAGATGTAGTTCTTACTTTCCATGAGTGCTGATCTCTATACATGATATCGCTCCGGTATACTTGTCGTGCATCGGTAAATAGTAGTTGTCATGGAAGTCTATGCGCGGAATCGGTTGCGTCTACAAAATAAAGTCATAATTTTCAGGCCATTAATTTGAAGCTAGAGAAATATAAATGGAATAATATCGGTAACTTAAGACATATTGTTATTACTTAGTTTAATCTGAAGACCTTGCTTTAAGTTGACTTAACAACATTAACATTAACTAAGGCTACTAAAAAGTGTAAAATGATAAGTAAATGGAACAGTAAAGCTAATAAAAGGCTTTTAATGCAAATACACATGATACGTGTGAGTGAAACTGTGGTTTTTAATAAATGCAAAAGAAATGAAATGTAGGAGTCATTGAAAGAATACAAAAAAACTTGCTTCTGACCTCTTCTTTTGCTAGCCGCCTGCCTTTTAGTTTCTTAAGCAATTTCTGCATAGCAGTCATCCAAATCATGTAATGTGTTTCTGGACTATCTTCTTCTGGTGTGGGCAGCCGTAGTACGCGGATATACCCGGTGTTAGTACCTACTATCAGGTAGCGGTCTTCACATCTGTGGTAACATAATTTTGTTACTATAATCAATAAATAAATACTTACCGAAGAAATGACTTTATTATTTATTTATTTAATTACTTTATCTTTCATCAATAAACCATACAAAGTCGAGTTATGTCAAACGGCCTAGGTGTCTATTTCTTGGGGGAAAAATAATATGATGCATATATATCTTACACAAATTTTAGAGATGTAAGGTCATCACACCAAGCGTCAGGGATTGGAGCATATTTCAGAATCTTGTTTGATCCTGGCTTCACTAATAGAAGAGCGCCGGTACCCTTCTGTACGACCCAAACACCTTCAGCACAATACTCCGCCCAAGTCACTGTTGTACCCAACATACTTTCGCTTTCCACTAGAAATTAAATTATATTTGTAAATGCAAAATAAAAAATGTTTACATATTAAAAAATATAAAGAAATAGTAGACCATCGATATCCGGTACAAGGAAGAAGATATTGGTGGTTGAGGAGGTTATTTTTGTTTTACGTGTGGAAACCCCCTTGGGCCGTTCCACACGTAATGAGTATAGGTTTGAGGCGGGTCGATATGTAGGATTGGAACCGACTGAAAACTCACTCTGCGCCTGACATACGGCGGCCGGTTGCGAGAGATCCTCATCGATGACTGCAATGAGGATTCCGACGTTGCGACGCCCAAGCCGGGATAATTGCCAGCGTGTGCTGAGTCGAGTTCTCCCTGTAAACATGGTGGTGACAGGCGAGACTCAATTGCCTCCTAGCGTCCGAGTGTAGTAGTACTTCTCGAAGCAGCCGTGCCCGGAAAGGACCTGCACCAGTCGGTAGGAAAGGGTCCCTGCCCAATCGACGATGACGATAGTTTGCAACAGACCCTTGATCAGCCGCCTAAGGTCTCTCAGCCTCTTAAGGAGTTGATCGAGGCTCTTGGCTATCAACCCGTGAACAGATATGACTATAGGAACAATGATTACCTAAATCAAATTTCATATATAGGCTATCTCGTAAGATAAATCCAAATATAACTATTATTTAGATTTTTGTCATGAGGAAAGGCGATATCGATACCATCAACACAATATCAGGCTTGTTGGCAACAATATTCCTGTCGGTGATGATAGATCGATGCCAATACAAAGTGGATAGACCATTCTCGAGAATTGGGTCTGACACGTACTTGTAGTATGGTACCTCTAAATTCACAAGAGAATAACCAGAAATAATATAGCTGATGAATTCACAAGGACGGTGGCATGCCTGACAGATTTCAACTGTTCCATCTTTCATGATATGTTTCCGATAGTTTTCCGTCATAAAAATTTCGTTCATGATTGCACGAAGAAAACCATCGTTCATCGTACCGTAGCCAAGACGTAGATGAGTCATTTAGGGCCTGATAAAACCGAATCATAATTTTCTATTTACTTAGCAGTCTATTAGAACTTACTGAGTTCTATGGCGCCAATCCATTCCTCTTCTTCGTCTTCGTCATCTTTTTCATCTTTAGCTTTTAAAGCTTCTTCGTCTAAACTAGCAAGATCTTCTTCAGTAGGAAATGGTCTATTGCGCATGCTGTTAAGATAACAAATTTAATAACGATATGTTATAAATATACTTGCCAACACCTGTATGTTTTTTTTTAAAGGATTCCTCTAGCACCACAGATGTTTTGCGGGAATTAAATATATACCCTCATTTTAACCCTTAATTCATTCACTCATTTAAACCCCTTTACCCCTTTGTCATATAATGTTTTTGCTGGTCTATTCTTTGAGCTCTTTGTCCGCGGGTCGTACATTTGCACTGAGCCTAAAGTGGTGGAGCGTTCACATCTAAGTGGAACCAAATAAAACACGTATCAGCAGGAGTAAACATTAGGTTTTACTGAGTCTATACTTTATAAAAACGAATATATGGAGCAAACATAAGTAGTATTTAGTATAAGGCTCCGATACGGTGAAACTCAGCTTTAGCCGTGACATTCCTATATTATGTCTCCAAAGTTGAGATTGGGTTTGAAAGTTGACATAGGATCACCTTGAAATGTGCAGTAACTGCAATGAATCATTCACTATATTCTTATCCTTACTATATCCTTACTATCCTCCTCCTTACTATATTATGATCGGAAGAAATAAACTGCTTCGGACTATTTATAAAACATTTTCATATTTTTAAAAGGATCTAAACCTCCTTTCTTAGGAGAGGCTTATGTCCAGCAGTGATGTGAAAAGGATCTAAATTTGTACTTACAAATGCTTTTTTACTAGAGTCTCTACATAGGACTCGAACTCGAGCCTAAAGGTAGTGATTTCACTGTAAACGCGAGATTCAATCTTTGGCAGTACAGCTTCCATAACCAAGCCAACTTGACCGCACAATAAAAGTACATGTTCCTAATGGAAAAAAACGGAGTGAATTAAAAAAATGTACAAAGGGGTTTTACCGTATTTAAGCGTATGGCCATCTTCATGAATATTTAACTCGTTTTATAAATAATATGTATGAAGTACAACCAGGGCGACAAAAATTGGTTGCAAGTGTCGACTACTTGTAAAAATATTGGTACATAATTACTGTTAATTACTTAACTAATGAACGAATAAGTGCTGGAAATAGCGAGGCGAGGAGTTTCTTCAAAACAAATGCGGATTACTGACTGATGTTTTTTTTATTAATTATCAGGTAAGTTGCATTAGGCATGCAGCGACGCACGTGATATTACGATAGATTATAGTGCTGAAATTTACATAGAAATATTGAATTTCTATTTGATAAACTACCATGCAGTTACCATATATTATTCTTCTTTGCGTTTGACACTAAAGTTTTATATTGATTAACTTTGTAACCGATTGCCTAACAAAGTTTTCACTTCTACTAATATTCATGTAAAATAATCTCGATTTGATATTAGGGTTCCGTACCTCAAAAGGAACCCTTATAAGATCACTTTCTTGGCCGTCTGTCCTAGCAAGTTGAAATTTATAATAGATACTGAGGTCTAAGATCCCTATTAGGTGTATAAAAATCAAGGTCCTGAGTCAACACGATAAAAAGATATGGGCTAATTTCGATTTTCACGAAAACTTGTGAGTACCAAAATTTACCTTAATTTTCAACTTTTTTATTTTTTAGAATTTTCTCTTTACTTGTGCTGTAAGACCTTGCTTTTAACCAAAATTGTCAATTCTAGGTCAACCGGAAGTACCCTATAGGTTTTGGGTCGAAAACCTATATGGTAGTTCCCATTGACCTAGAATCAAGAAATTTGGCAAAAAGAAACGTTTTACGGCACAAATAAAGGAATAATTCAAAAAAATTAAAAAGTTGAAAATGAAGATAAATTTTGATACTTACAAATTTTCGCGAAAATCTACGTAAAATTTGGGTAGGTACCCTCGGCGCACGACTTCGACTCGTACCTGACCGTTTTTTTTATTTGTTGTCAAAATATGCCTCAATTGAGAAAATAAAACAGAAGGAGTCATAAGGACTGCCGTCAGAAGTGAGAACTAAAAAAATGAAAATACGCGTCGCTAGTCTGGCGCAATACGTCACGAGGATGTCGAGGTCATCGGTGACGCGAACCCGTAAGTTTTTTCCCCTACCAAAAATCGCTCAGGGGGACTAAAGAAGTTTTCACTTAAAAAACAGTGTACTACCAAAGTCAATCAATAAATACGGGCTAAAATGAAATCTGATTTTACAATAAAATTTAAAGAAAAATAATCTTAGGACATTCAAGGATTTTGTTGTTGATTTATACATTATCGATTCACTTACCTCGTCGGGTTTCCACGTCATGTAAGCTATATTATTAGGTGTTTCTATGAAACCAATTTTATGCAATTGGAAAGGTGTGGCTAACTCTAACTTATACATGAATATGGTGCAATCTTCCGCGCATGTCACAAGTAAAGTGCGCTGATGATTTATTGATATTTGAGTGAGGGACTTCGAGTGTGGTTTTAACAGCTGAAAAGTAATATTAGATTATTTTGTCATATTTGTCAAATTCAGTATTATAATTAAGGCAAATTTAACTTGTGGTCCGGCCCTTTAGAGGACCTCTAACATACCTTCTCAAAATCTCGAGACCGTTTGGAAAATAAACAGGAACGTTTTTACGAGAGGCCGTTGTCAAGCCATTATCAAAATTACTTTATACAGAGGTAATCTTCCTTAGTCGCCTGAATCAATTCCTTAACCATCAAACATACCAAACTATCAATACTTACTAACCGATAACAGATCTATAACATCGGCGTTAGCCGAATCTTCACTGTGTATCGTGAGCGCAGAGTGCACGCGGATGTCGATCAGACTCTGACGACTTATCAACCGGTCGGGATGTAGCAGTAACGTCCGCATTATACCATCTTTAAACCCAACCATGAAAATCTTTGATGTTTGATCTACCTGAATGACAAGCACAGCATTAAAAGATTATTTTATTACTTTCTTAGCATAAAAACGTAGTCCAACATCCTGCTGGATCTTTACGTCAAAAAAGTGAGAATAAAACATCTATCTGCACAATGGCTTTCAGAAAAAATCAAGCAATATATGTCCAAACGGGATAAGGCTAAACGAAAATATAGAAAAAACCCTCTGAAGCGGTCGGTCTACAAATCTCTTCGAAATCTCTGTAGTCGTCTGTAGTCGTCTGTGTGGAGATGTAAGAAGGCGCCTAAACTAAATTCCATAAAAAAAAACATACTGGATAAAAGCCCATGATTGTTATTCCTGTATCTAAAACTTCCTCAGTGTCTCAATTACGCCCTATATCGATACTCCCAATCCTTTCTAAGGTATTTTAGAGTACCCTCCAGAGTCAACTGATTAGTTACCTTTTCTCTAAGTCCATACCAATCTGGGATTCGTTCAGGCCATAGCACTGTAACTGGAGAACAAATTCCTTATAGTATCGGTCTTACTGGATTTCAGCAGCGCCTTCAACTCTGTTGATTTCGACATCCTCTTGGGGATCCTTCCCTCTTTGAATGTCTCTAATCCTGTAATCGCATACGATTACAGGATAGCGTGCGGCCTCGAAGATAAATCATAATTTAAGACCAATGCTATAAGGAGTCTGTTCTCAATAGCTAGTCGAACGTCGAACTAATTTTGACCAAGCCTGTAACAGTGCTATGGCCTGAACGAAACCCATATTGGTATGGACTTAGAGAAAAAGTAACTAATGGCATACGATTACAGGACAGCGTGCGGCCCCGAAGATAAGAGCTAAATCATAATTTGGTGGTACGGTGGTACGCTCCGGTGAGTCCTCGTCTGACTGGTGTGACCTTACAGCGGGTGTTCCCCAAGGTGGCGTTCTTTTTTACTTTTCTCAACTTTCATCAATGCTATCACTAATGTTATATCTTCTCAATTTCACCTCTATGCAGACGACTTAGGGATATATCGTCATTGTAAAGCTGACGATCTTGCAGAAGCTGTCGCTGCTATCAATAATGATCTTAAGAACATTAATACATGGGCTAAATCGTATGGACTGCTTGTCAATCCCGCGAAATCTCAAGCAATAGTTATTAGTGGCAGACACATATACAGTAGACTAAACCATTCCACACTACTTCCAGTTTTTTTACAACAATGTTCTCATTCCTTACTTGTCTTCTGTGAAAAATCTCGGAGTTTTCATTGACACTTGCATGTCATAAATTACACATGTAACTGAGGTAAATAGAAAAGTCTTTAATACCTATCATTCTTTAAAGCGGCTTTAAAATTTTCTTCCTTTTCAAACTAAAATCTGTCTTTCACAATCCCCTCTCCTTCCCTCTTTGGACTATGCTGATGTTTCCTTTCTCAACGTTACTGAAGAAATTAGGGATAAGGTTGAGCGATTGCCGAATTTTGCATTCGCTTTATTTTTAGCCTAAGAAATTATGATCATGTGTCAAAACCCCGCAAGCAACTCGTGTAGCTAGTACGTAGCTAAGTAGCTACGAATTCGGCGGCGTCGAGATGTTCATATACTTTCTTTACCGTATTTTTTTACTTATTATATATTCAGTTGTTTATTTCTAACTTCCTAAAATTTATCTGTACACACGACACTCTCCTGTTGTTCTATCCTCTCTTCAATCTTAGGTTTGTTGGAAAAGAACTCAATTATGGGGATATCTTTGTTACGAAACAAGAAAACAATGTTAGAAAATAGATTTTAAATAAAACTTACATCTAAAGGTGGATAAAAGATGCAGGATATAGGCACAGGAAATTGATATCGGGCGAGGAGGGTATGACTATACGTATTATAAGCATGCAGAGCCCCATCTTCACCACCGGTAATTAGGATGGGCTGAGTTCTCAATACTGCCATAGCAACAATGCTTCCTGCGTGACACGTTATTACTTTGTGATGGTTGCATTCAAGTTTATCGATTTCCAAATCAACTGTCCATATACCGCCGTTGGCATCCTAAAAAGTATACTATATTAGGATTAAATTGATAGCACCGTTTGTATAAATATATAATCTAAACAGTTTCATAAAAATATTTTACTTTTATTTTATTAATATAGAAACTTGTGAAATAAGTAAGAAAAATGAATTGAAGTAAGAACTTACTTGAGCGTACCAATACATGTCTTTTTGGTGCTTGAGACACATTATTTGGCAGCCGGGCACCTGTAATTTACATTAAAATATACCATATTATGCGGCTTTTTACTGAAAAAATTACTGCGTTTTATTAAAAGTAAGATTTTATGCAATGATTTTTTGAAAATAGAGTGGTTCAAAGTTAAGATCATTCATTGTCATACAGAGTACAGGTACATTAAAAAAATGGGTCGAGGGGAGGAGACTCGAGGAGGTCGAGAGGATGACTCAGTTCTAAATGACGTTTGTTGTGATATTTATCTATACTAATAATTTAGAGGAAATTGATTTTTTGTTTGTTTGTTTGTAATGGGTAGGCTCCGAAACTACAGGACTAATTTTGAAAATTCACCTTTAGAAAGCTACATTATCTGCTGATAATGTAGCTTTCTAAAGGTGAATTTTGGTTAGGTGAAAATTTGTTATGTTTTCAAAATAAAATGTTTTATTTTGAAAACATAACTAATTTCCTATAAAAAGCACGATGATTTAAAGCAAGGTATGAAAAATAAGATGTCCGTTTTTTCGGTCAAAAACCACAATGTGCGCTGATTTATTAACCTCATGAGGTTGATCAAAATAATGTACAAAGGAATTGTATCCCACGAATTTTTAGAATAAAATGTTTTTCTTCTTGAATTTATAGAAAATTATTTTCTACTTTTTCTATATCAGATCAGCTAGTTACAAAAACGTTTCTTTTTAATATTTTTTAGTTGAGTCACACAAATTTCTGAACGCACCCATAAATGTTTGATAACCAACAAATATTACGAAATTTTGCCTAATTTTTTTAGTTTAATTAGCTAGTGGCAAGATATCGCAGTTTGTGATGCTTTTATTACTAAGATTCTATTGAAACTATTTTAAATAGCACAAAAACCGTGTACTAAAAATCGGATGTCAGAGACTGTATTATATGATCATACATACACACGTTTCCGCAACAGGATTGATTTCGACATAAGGATCTTCCTCTGGCGGATCAGCTTGTTCCACAGTATCCCAGTACCACGCACGAATACAACCATCTCGGGCTATTGTAGTTACTTCATCACCCGCTTGACTTAACATAAATTGGATCTGTAATAAATATGTAACACATCTTTGCCACATCTTTACCAGACCTATGTTTTACGATTTTTAGTATTCTTATTTCTTAGTATTCGGTAGTCCATCTCCTGTTAGGTGTATTTATAAAATACTAGCTATCATGCATGGTAGATGCTTCGATTTGTATTGTATGATGCATTGATGAGTAATGAAAATATAAAAATAATCAAAACAGAATAATGTTAAAGATAAAAACAATCTCTAAGCGGGTTCCATATCGTGTCAAATTTCAGCTCAATCGGTGCAAAACTTTTTCGAGTTTTTGAAGCGTACACAAACCAACAAAATATTTTTATATATAGAAGATACGACAAAAAACGCAGTAACTAAAAATCTTATTTTTTAATAGTTTTGTGGTTTTCACGAGCTGACTCAGTGACAGATTTTAAGTGCATTTAAAGTCCGGGCGCTCTCTGTTAATTTTGGATACTTACAATTGGAGCTTTATGACAGGATTTTCGTCCTTTTCGTGTTACTTCAATTTTAACAAGTCCAGCTTCCCACACTAAGACGTTGCCCCATTCACATCCAGATAGCACCTGAGAATATTAACTACAACATGTGAAATAACATAACAAACATATGTATGTATATAAAACAAATTCAACCATTTGAAACTTCTAAAACAAAGTCATTATAGGTTTCGTCAATATTTCACTAGCACTATTTAGTAGTTACTGACGGGTGTTGCTCATGGTTGGTCTTGCTTGAGTTTTGTAACAAGAAATTTATAGCAACACAAGTAAACCGAAAGGTACTGGGGATGGATGATGGTAATTAATAAAGAACAATAGTGTCCTTAGTTTCTCATATTGGAAAGTAACTTTTACCTTTTCATCGGGCATTGGATAAACACCAAGGACATCGCAGATTTCAGTTTTCCCGAATCTACCCAAGTCACCTTTCAACTTAACCCCTGTGAATGTTTCAGCCATTTTCCAAAATTTTATATGCGCCGCTCCTAAAATGAAAATGTATTATAGATCGTGCCTGCTAAATATAACAGATAGTTTTTACATAGAGACTGCGATATTTTGACTTAAAAGAAACTTAAAACACACAACCATATCTTATACATATACGTACATTAAGAATAACGTTGTAGGCTACACAATTATAAATACTTTAATTTTAAGATCTTGGACTAAGAAAATTGTGTGTGTGTTTTCCCGAACAAAAAAATATATATTTATGAATTACACATACATAGCTGAAATAAAGATAGTTGACATAGGCGTCCAAAGAAAAGGAAACTAACCTGCAGTGGATAGCTGTCCTGGACAGTAAGGTGAAAACATTACGGTATTGACGTCGTATGTGAAAGCACTTGTACGTAAAAGAATCTTGTGACGTTTCCAATTCCAGATGGTGAGGTTATAATCAGATTCTTTGCCCACTGACGCCAATAATTCGCCATCAGGACTAAAATTTAGAAAAATCTTTTGACCTAACTTTTTTTAAAAGACATCTCTTGCAATAGGAATATATCCTGTATCGCGTGGGACTTTAGACGTACATGAAACGGACTCAAAGAACACCCAGACTCAGACTCAGACAGAATTTGTGGCCCACACAAAGTGTTGTCCCATGGGGGGATTGAACCCACAATACTCAGCGCAGTAGGAATCTGCGAGATGACCGCTTTAACCACTACGATATCGGTGTAGTCATTTATACTTATTTCAATAATTTTAATAGACATCGCAGTATATAATAGGTACGTATTAAATGTTTTCTAGTGCAGAAAGTCATCATCGTCATCAACAGCCTTTAGTAGTCTACACCTGGACATAGGCTTTTTAGTAGAAAGCAGGTTTTGGCATACTAAGTGTAAAGTACGTAAAGTAGAAAGTATTCTTTCCTAACCCCTACACGTTGCTACAATGAACAGGTCAATTATACTATAGAATAATATAGAATATCCTTATATGATCATCCTAAGTCTATATGAGTTTATAGTAAACACTACTTAAAAATACCTGAAGTCTAATATAGAGTATGCGTTAGTAGTACCATCGCGAAGTACAGCATCTATATCCATTTGTGGCCATGTATAGAGAATTATTAGTGGGTCTCGGTGACCCTCTCGATCTTCTCCAATAGCTATACGATAATTCGGATCTTTTCTATAAGACTGAAATAAATATTTATCAATGGATTAACTAATGAAATTAACTAATAGTAACTAATTATGGCGTAACTCAATAATTGAAATGGATAATTAGGTAAATCAATGCGTTTTCAAGAAACAATATTTGAGCTGCACTAACAGCTTATTTTCCAAAGAGACTTGTGAGGCAAAATGATCAAAACACAAAAGTTTGCATATATTACATTTCAGTTTACTCAAATTCTATCCTATCCTAACTATCTTTACTAATAATAGGGGTTTGCAATTGCCTTTGTAAAATAATAGATACTTTGAATTGACATAAAACCTTCATGGTCATCCTCCGTACTCGCCAGACCTTGCTCCAACGGACAACCATTTTTTTTTCGTTATTTGGTCAATTTTCTACCTGATAAAAATTCTTCCCGGGAGGCAGTATAAAATGCTTTCATACAGTTTGTCGAATCTAGATAACCAGAGTTCTATCGTAAAACCATAAATGAACTGCCGTTTAGATGCCAACAATGTATGGATAATAAGAAAAAATAATTTGATTAAATAAATATGTTACATCTAAGAACAAACTATAAAATGCTTTCAAACCGTTTGTCGAATCTAGATCCCTAGAGTTAAATCGTAAAAGTATAAATAAACCACCGTTTAGATGTCAGCAATGTATATATTTATTTAATCAAATTATTTACAAATGATTTAATAAATATGTTATATCTTAGAAAAAAGGGAGTTTCAATTTTTCAGTAGAAATCGGCAATATCATACTTTAACCGCTAATATTACAAATACGAAAGTACCCCTCTGCCTACTGCTTCCTCTTTCACTTTTAGAGTAAGACAATAAAGAAAAATAGTGATTAAAAAAAAGGCTGTCATCGTGGGTTGTTAGATGTCATTTGTTGTAAATACTTTATTGACAGATATTGGTAAAAGTAAAGTTATTAAAATATCTTAAGAAGCCCCCAAGGCCTTTATACGATAAAATGATTTTCTTACACCTTTTTCTAAAAAGTTAGAGAAAATAATTTCTATTGTTTAGTTCAGCTAGATGCAAAAGAGCATTGTTTTTACTTTTTTTAAACTCTTATTTAATTATCTCTTTTATGATGACTATTTTCTCAATAAAGACTAAAAAAGTGAAAAGTAAGTCGCATATACTTCGGTACACGCCTTTATGTCTAACTAATCTAAGAGGTACCGTTTGACAGTTCTGAGTCTGACAGATTGAAAACTAGGGAGGGGGGTCAAAGAAATTAATCACTATAATAATTATAATAAGCCGATTCTTCTGAGATATCAATACCATTCTTTGATTTACAAATCGATTACAGTTTTATAGATTAATGTAAGTTTTTGGTTGATGGTATATACCTTTATCTTAGGTTTTGCTAGTAAATCTTAGTATATACCAATGGCGGAATTTTATGAGATAAAATTGCCATCCTTTTTTTTTTTGTTTTTTTTTTAACGTGTGGAAATCCCCTCGGACCGTCACCCCACCGGGGTTTGCGGCGGGGTAGTGTGTCGGACTCGGACTGACTAAAACCACACGTTGTGCCACTCTGCGCCTGTAATAGGAGGGATCCGGGACAGCTGTTATTAAGACATCCGCACCCCTCCTAGCGCCGGCCCGCTCCTGTTGCGGGCCTCGTCTCAAAATTTTCCTCTCTTTAGGCGACGTCCGGCACACGCGGACGCCGCCCCCTCGCGGCTGGCCAAACTAATGCGGGTGGAGGGGAAACCTATTCTAACCCAGTCAGATTTAACAAAATTGGTTGGAATAGCCTACAAAGATTTATTTAAAATTACATTAACTTACTCGTACATATTTTTAACTTTAATTATGCGTTTTCGTTGACAGATGGATGGTAGCTGAAATTGAAGTATGATTAAATACTAAAAGAAATCTGTATTTAAAACGGATGGTTATATTTTATTGATGATAATATTAATATTTATTTAAGTATTATTTTGTAAAGTTGTAAAGTATATTTGTAAAGTATATGTATAAAAATGTTATTAATATGTGTATAAAATAAATAAAGAGACTAATAATATTAATGTATAAGAGACCAGTTACATGTCATTACAATATCAGTGTAAGCTGCAATAAAAGAAGTTTGATTATTCGATTGTATATTATTGGTTATTATACTTGGTTCACATAATTAAAATTTTAAATTTAGTTATTAAGAATTGTACATCTTGTGATAAAATGAAAATAGCTTCATAATTCCATGGTTTTACATAAAAGGTTATTGAAATTGTTTCAGTTACGCCCATACAAAGTTGATTTGGCTTGAAAAAGTATGAAACGTCAAACGGTACTTCTTAGATTTGATGAATTGTGGTACGTGGCACAAGATACTATTTATATATTTTTAGGTATGGAAAAGTCGTTAATCCTGAAGATCCTGCTCAGGATAATCAGACAAACTTATTAAATTATTGTATTATCATCGGTCCTTGACAAATGTGCAAAATTTCGATTAAATCTGACCTTTTAAAGTGAATAAAAAATTAAGTTTAAAGATGCCGTTGCATAACATACAGGTGAACCTGTGTTGTGTGAGCGCGTGTTAATAAAATAGGTACGTGCGTTACAAGTAAATGCTCACCGTAAGAGCTCCGACAGTGCCCCCTGTGCTGCTTCGCCGGAACCAAGTCTGCTTGGTGTTGACGTCGAGAAAGGTGATTATACTTCCAGCGGACCAGCATACGACTGTTTCATCGCACGCGCACAGATTGAAGTACTTATGGCAGTTGTAACCGTATGAATGTCTTTGTTTTTTAAGAGGAAAAAATTCAATTACAGTACGATTGTTTATACAGACTTTAATATAAACCCTTAAATGAATAGTACAAAGTGTTTGTGCTATGGATTATGCTTACGTCCGATTTTGGTTACAGTTAATAATGTATTTTTTTAAGGCATTTCGGGCATACGATCGGATTGGTCATCTGATGGAAAGGGACTACTGCCGCTCATGTAAACCTACAACTGAGGAGTATCAAGTCGGTAGTTGTTTGAGTGCCCTTCCCCCTAGAATTAAAAGGAGGATTTTGGGCTCCAGTTACCTTACTCACTCGGTGAAATAAAAAAAAAGTTTTTTGGGGAAACAGCGGTTTTCTGTAAGGCAGTGGGATCACTCCGGTAGACTCGGCAACCGAAGCTTAGCTGTCCCATCTGTAAAACTAGTTGCCGATATTCAATGTTATAAGGTTATCTATTCATATAAAATTACTAGCCTTGACCGACTGTTGCGTCGAGATAGAGCCTATATCGCTGGAGCTATAAACTTGAAATTTTGGCAGCTGATGCTTTAGACGTTGTAAGCACCCACCAAGTAAGGATTTTCGGAAATTTCACTCGTAATGCGGGTAAAAGAAGGGATAAATGGTCGTCATTTTTAAAGTTAGTTATCGACGCCGTGGGCAATAGAAACCGCGATATTGTAGATTAGCAGTGACGTATCACACATATGTAAGAATGTGTGAAACGGCTAGTATTCGCAATTACTATAGCTTTTGCAATTTTCTTACATATTTTTAGAGAGATATAAGTACTCTGTATCTCATAAACGATATACCCAGATTTATATTATATAAATGTATTTAAATAAAAAATAATAATTAAAAGGATACTCAAATTCAAACAAATCTATTGGTAAGGTTGAATCTAAAGAAATGACTGCGCCCGAGTAGAAGTCGTCAGGATCATATTCAGTGAGTATAGATTCTTCTTCAACTTCCTCCTCTATTTCTTCAGGTGCTCCTTCTTCTGTTAGCTCTTCTTCACCTGTCGATCGGTGTAAACAATTTCAGTTTTTGTTAGTGTTTTATAGGTCCATAGGTGGAGTGTAAATACCTTGCACATTTTGTACCTAATAGTAAATAAATATGGTTCAGATGCTCTCATCTGAACCATATTTATTTACTATATACTATATATGAGGTTTAATAAATGTTTTTGATGACTCTGTCCGATGGTATAACCAGTAATAAGAAATACATGACCATCGTAGTGTAGAACCGTTTCGATTTATAATTTTTATTTTTTAAGCTCTACGCAAACTTTAAAAATAGTTTTTTATTGTAGTCAATATGCGTGTGTTGACGTGGGACGAGATGACCCACCACTTACTCATTTCTAAGATAAGGGTACTTCCCAAGGCTAATAACACTATTCAGAGTGGATCAAATGAAATGATTTAGGAAGATATTGCTCATTTTAAACTCATGTTTTAAAGCCCGATTTACGGTTCCCTGAAAGGTTTAGTACCTGAAAGTATCTACTATTTATTATTCACACATTTTAAGCTTCATGACCTACTTTAAACTATTTTATTTTACCTCATGCACTGATATTTGACATCTTTGTATAATGAATTCAAAGTTTTAAATAAGTTTGAGTTACCTTCTTCATCAAAGTATTCTTCATCTGCCATTCTTACACTAAAATCTTAGTTCGTTGGTATTATATTTTGATTTGTGATCACAGCTTCAAGGTAAATTAAATTAACACAATGAAATTATCAGTGGTGATATTTCATCAATACAGATTACCTATAAATAAATGTGTAGCTAGGATACGAATCATTTAAAATTAGGGTGCCAACGCAGATGTGAAACAGTTGCGTTCCAATATATATAATTTTACCTAAGTATATCTGGAAATTTACGTTAACGAGAATCAAACAGTATAAAAGAAACAACGAAATCATTCATAGTCATCTCAAGTTAATATAATGTATGCTGTATAAGTAAAAGCGACCTGCCAGGCGAGGCCATCTGCTATTCTAGCAGAAGCCATTTTTCAAGATAAATTAGACTTCCTTTCTTTATTTTTATTTTGTTTATAATATCGACGGTACATACTTTCTTTTCGTTAATAATTTTTCATGTAAATTGTCATTGCTGTTTTAATTATTTTCTTATATATAAAATTCTCGTGTCACAATGTTAGTTACCATACTCCTCCGAAACGGCTGGACAGATTTAAAAAAAAAATTGTGTGCACATTGGATAGGTCTGAGAATCGGCCAACATCTATTTTTCATACCCCTAAATGACAAGGGTGACCCACCCCTACATTTTTATTTTCAATATTTCCTAGAAATAATGTATATGGCAAAACAACGTTTGCCGGGTCAGCTAGTAATCATATAAATTAATGAGATATTAAAAGACTGGAACACTTTTCTTAAAACTTATTTCAAAAACTGCTGCAAAACATCGGTGTGCCCACACAGGAGGGGGTCATTTACAAGCCTTAGATGGCATGGGGTACCAGGGATTTTCTCTCTAGAGTACACCTGGTTCCCAGGCACTGGTACCCGAGGCGCTGGACTGTCATAACGTTACGTGAAAAGTTAGTCTCTTTTCGCACAACGTTACGTCGTTAGTCTTTTATTGCTTGTTTCTATTTTATTTTTGAAATTACTATTTTACAAATGAACATCTTATAAGATTTGTTATTTAACAATATTTTTACTGTACTTAATACTAATAATGATGTAATGGGACACCTAATTTAAGTAAATAAATCTTATAATATTTTTAGAAAAGCACACGCTAACACTTGGCTCCTTGTGACACACGTCCTTCTTTTTTACGAAATCACTCGAAATTACAGGAAAACAAGAATTCGAGAGGAAAGATGTTACAAACAAAAACGAGTGAGCCTTACGGTAGTCGCATTATGATACATGTAACATTTGGCATCTCACTTATCATCTGACTGACAGAACTCTAGCACCAAATACCCAAGTCAAATCAAATAGCGCGCTCTTAAGCGGTTTCCTCTTACACTTTTCTGTCAAGTTCTGTTCCTCTTCACGTAACCACTTTCACAGATTTTAGGAAAGCAAGAGGAAAGATGTACAGTTACACACGACACAAACCCACTTCATTTACATAATTATTGTGATGACTAACTTTTGTAAATCAAGTAAGTACTGCCACTGACTTCTGTCTATTTTGTACCTCAAGCCTTGAAGTATTATAAATAATCTGGTCAAATTAGTTTAAAAAAAAACGCCCACAATAATTTACAGAGAGCTTTAATTAATTTTCAGCCTATTCTGGTAACTTACTGAATACTGATAGTAGTAGCCACAGAGCCCGGTACTTGAGGTAGATTTGGCTTTAACTTATTATGTCGGCAGCACTGCATATGTGTCAAAAAGTATTTCATTGTCAGTTTTGCATTGAAATCTTGTGTCATATCTTCTATCTTGCTCACCTATGCTCGAAGTTGAATAGTACTATCCTGTTGTCAATGTCAGCCCTGTGTTGTCAGAAATCCTAACATGCGTAATATTTTTCTTCATTTTGTGAGTATTGTTTGGACTATGAACTTTGTTTTGATTTGATAGAAACCAAAACACGAACATTTTGTGATTGTTGAAGATGTCCCAACCGCATCGGAGATCGGTTTTAAATCTTTACAAGACAGTTAGTACCTCCAGTAAAATATAAAATAACTAGTAATATAATTAACCTTTAATTTAGTTACTTAATAACTGACTTCCTGTTGGTTAATTATACCTATGCATCTAAATAATAAGTTCTTATCTCCTTATTTTCAGCTTCTATATCTAGGTAGAGAATGGCCGCAAGGTTATGATCTGTTCAGGAAAAGATTGCACAAAGTGTTTACGAAAAATAGTGAAGAAACTAATCCAGAAAAGATTAAAATGATGATTAAACACGGCGAATTTGTTGGTAAAGAAATTGAAGCGCTTTATAAATTGAAAAAGTACAGGGCTATGAAGAGAAGGTACTATGATGACAACTAAAATGGTCATTTGTCTTATTATAGCGTAAAAAAAGTTGTAATAATTAGTTCTACACTTAATTGGTGAACTGAAATAAGTTCAGTATTTTGGTACCTGTAGATATGACAAGTTGGGTTTTTGTACATAAAATATATGATTTAGTTAAGGTGATTGATTAATGAGTAAGAATAATTTGGATGGTAATCTTTAAGGGCTGTAAAGATGTCTTACCTATATATATATATATATATAGATAAGATTTTGCATCTGTTCTTTTAAACCAGCACACATGGGTACCTGTGTGTCGTAAGACGATAACTCTGAATAAAACAAAATCTTTTTCTATGTAATTATGTAATATAGACATTTTTATAGTTTACATAATTCATTACTATTATAAACTAGTAAAATTATATTGTGTAATAATAAAATAAAATATCTAGTATTTAGAAACAAAATGTTCATCATAATAAATCTTTAACATAACAATAATGAGACAATGTTTTTTTTTAAGTGGCAAGTGATATGATAATTTATTAATCGAATTTTGAAATAGTTATATACAATATATTTATGATAACATTTGTGTGTCAACAAAATTACATAATATATATATATATATATGCTATATAGTTGGTGCAAGAGATGGGAAATGATACAGATAAACCCTGCATTTTATGTGAATATCTGAACTACAAATGAGGTTTTAACATAGGTTACATTTTTACGATTCTAAATTTAGCTAGGAGTTTGTAACAAACAGCAATGATTACAACAGCCCAACACATTAACACCACTTTATGATATAAGCTAACTATCTGATGATATAACATTTTACACTTCAAGTGTGACTAATATTTGTAATTCACTCACAGAAATTACTCTACCATAATTACAGATATTTTTGTTAATATAGGTACTATAATATCTTACAAAGTTTGTGACTTCATTCATTATCAAATTGTGTATTGATTCATTGAGATCCGATGCATCAAATGTATTTTATCAGGCTATGATGTAAAAACCGATGCTAAAAGATTATGAATGCATTATATAATAGGCACACAAGATGTAACATCAAGTAGTTTCTAATCTTTATGCATTATGCAAACCCTTGAAAAAGATATCAAATGTTCAAGCCATGCAAATCTGTTTCTAGTTCCTGGTCAAAATTTGAATGTTGATCTTGCCTCTACCTTTTTTGTCTTTTGACATGTAGGCTATCTTTATGTTTTAATCACAATCAGATAGGTGGGTCTTTGATGAGATTATTACCAATACTTTGTACATATATTGTTATTGAATATGGTAATTGTTCATGATTGCAGTATGACAGAAGGAAGTTACTATAGGATAAGACCTATATCCCTAAATCTTTATTATCATTTGTATTTTTTTTCCTTAATGCTATCTCTAGCGTTTATTCACATATATTGTGGCCTTTGTTCTTAATATTACAAAATGTTAATAATAAATAGCATAATGGAATATCTATATTGTCAATTCTACTGAGGCTTAACTGCTTGATCTTTGCAGTCTGAGAATTATAAAGTATTTCAGTGAACATACAACAGATTTACAAAGGCTTTTTGTTTACTTCATATTTTATTAAAAGGTACTATGTCAGATAGTTATCTCTATATAATATCTATAGATATTTATCTCTGTGTTGATGGATAAAAAGTATGATTGCAAAGTTGTACCTACTTTTTCTCAATACAAAAATCAAGTTAATGGATTTGTTCAACTATCTGAACCTTCATAAATCTGTTGTATTGTTACTATAATAAGTTCTATATTATATTAACACAGTAATTATATTTATTGTTAAATACAGTACTTGAACCACAAGTCTAGTCCTACTTGTTTCGTGTTGGTGCACTTCTAAATTTACTTGAAGCCCGACTCCTTTACTCCTACATATAGGTAAGTATATAGATTTACATAAGTATGTGATTGTGGAATTTAACATGTGATTACATTATATACACAATAACACATAGGTTTGAGATCAACAACAGTCAAGCTTTAGCTAAGTACATAGGCATAAATATGTACTTGATGTTCACATATTTAAGAGATGTATCAAATATCAAATAGTAGAATGTAACTTTGAACCGATATTAATAAAACAGCACTGACACAAAACATTTAAACTGACTTTTTATTGACGACACAAGCAGCAGTCTACCGACAGTTTAATATTATGGTCACGATCCATTTAAACGAGTTTGAACAATTTAACAATATATATTTTTTTAACATTTTTCTTGTAAATAGTCTTAAATGTTTGACTAGTTTCGATGATACCACATACATATATTGAGTGTCCATTTACATACAAATATAAATTAAAATGTAATTATTTCTACTAAGTCTAAATTATACAATGTAAAATTAAATACCTACATAAGTTTAAATGAAATTTAGATATTATCACATTATGGATTTGGACACAAAAAATATTTTAATGAGTAATGTCATGCCTTAAAATAATAAGTTTAGGTACCTATACAATAGGCCTATTGTTCCTCAGAAGAAGATAACAGATTCCTAGGCAAAACAGAATTTGTTGAAAAATAAGTAAAATTATCATAACATAAAATAACCATAATCCATTCTCCTCCCCCGAGGAACACAATATTATCATTATTTAATAAAGGGGTATCAATATTATAACACTTATAAGTTAGTAAAATAGAATGTAAGAATTTTAACAGGATACAACTTATTTACATAGCTTTTTTTCTTACAGGTTTTTAAACGAACTTTTACTTTTGGTTACACGTGTAGTTAAGTGAATGCTCTTATAATACCATGATATTAACAAAGCACACGCATTAAAACGAAGCCGATTACCTTATTTCTTATCAAGAATAAAATAAATAAGATACTTCAATAATGTGGAAGTAGCAATGGAATTTTAACAAATACTCTACTCTCTTCACAACGACTTACATATTGATAAACCAACTTTCTTATTCAACAAGATACGAGTATTGGGTAGTTTAGATGAGAGTACAAGGTTAATTCAAAGGACGAAATTAAATCTTGCGTCTTTACTGTCGATGCTACTGGTTTACGCGAAGAAATCCTTTTTAAACAATCTCAAATACAACAACAAAGACGTTCACCTATTTAATTATAAAATTAAGAGAGTAACTGAAATTAAATAGACGTATCTTTGTGGAATTTCCGTATTTAATGTGAGCATTTAAGTCAAAAAGAAAAAGTATTCAATTTTATAAATACTCCATAATGCTTTTGATAGTCAGATGCTTAATTTTCGTTCAAATAGAAAACTGACGTATACATATAGAATAAACTTATATTAAATAATAATATTCTTCACACTTGTTCTTCGACGACTGTAGCATTATCTGCTTTATAATCTGTAAATAAAAAAAAGGAGCTTTACATCTACACTTTATATATATATATATATATATATATATATATATATATATATATTTATATAATATGTATAACGAACCTCAGTTCAGTATTTAATCCTTCTTCTCTCCATCATCAGGGTCTTTAAGGGTATGCCATTGCGCGATGGGGCGTCGCGGGCTAGCCAACATATCGGACCAGTGACGCAGTTCGGTTCCTGACGCTGTGTAACCCAGCACCACTTTTCCAATTGGCTCCGAGGTACCAATGCGATCGTAGTCCACCACGGTGATCACTAGGTTCACTTTCTGCAGTTTGATTAAAAAATGAAGAAAACGATAACAAACAAAGTGGGCAATTCGCTTCTGCGTATGAAAAGTGTAAAATTTAAAACAGTATGCATAATTTAACAAGTTGTCGTGTCCTGCTCTGGTCCGGTGCATTAAAATTAATAGGTTTTAGGTTAAATATAGGATTATTTATAAATAATCTAAGGTTGTTTTATATATTGACTTATATTCCTTAATTATATATAAAGTAAATACTATTTGAATAAACATTGTACCGGTGCAAAGCATGTTTCATAAAAATTATAGAGAGTCCGCATCAACCTCTTACTTTTCTATGAATTCAAAACTAACTAGGTACCGAAAAGGCTATAGTTTAGCAATTTAATGCAGTAAAGTAACATATCCCACCAAAATCATTTTTATCTAAAATGTTGCCAAGACGAGATCATATGGCTCTTACTGTCAAAAAGTTATCAGATTATTATGTTTAACGAATTCCTTGTGAATTCGACCAACTTCAACATTATCATTAAAACCGAACACATAACGAATATTTTTATTACACATTATACATCACGAGTCAGCAGTGGTGTCGTTAACAAAAAAATTGTAAACGACACCCCTTTGGTGTGGTTCAGTGGTGTCGTTTACAATACACGATTTTAGTTTATACACTTTTCATACAAAGCGCTATGTAAATTTAATAGAGTACTATGGGTTACATATCAATAGTAGCGCTACAATGTTGCTATAATATGATTGTAGCCTCTCTGCGCATGCCATACCTAATTTATATTATGGACCCCTTATCGCGAAAAGTTGCTTAGTGGAAAAGCGGTGTTGAAATCACACAACTTTTCCACTTTTCACAGCTGATTTAGTTCAGAAAAAAAAAACTTTCTTTACCATTACAAAGGCATTTGTAAATCACCAAATCATTTTATAACTTTTATTACTTGTGTGATGCATTTAAGAAACTAGGAGATATATATTAATAATTAACCAAAATTACTCGTGTCCCCAAATAGCAATAATTCTAACCTATATACTGGCTAGTATAGTGTAGTGATGTGCCGGATATCCGTATCCGTATCCGCGGATATCCAAGGGAGAAAGAGATCCGTAACCGTATCCGTATCCGTGACTTTTTTGGCGGATCTTTCAATACATAGATGAAATTCTATATAGGTGATTTTGTATTCACTGTAAAACTCTTAGGTAAGTGTTTGTAACACTATAAACAGCAACTTTTTTCTGGCCAACGTCAAAATGAAAAAAAAAATGGTCCTCCATTCAAATGACCAATCAAATGTTGTTAGTTTCTATGGAGCAACAATTTTTTTCCTTTCGTTTTCGGTGTTAGTCCAGAAGAAAAGTTGTTGTTTATAATGTTACTAATGTGCACTTCAGAGGTTTTCAGTAAATTTAAAATAACCCTGATTAATGGTTATTAGGTAGCTATGAAAAACTATTGAATTCTGTTCAGATTACTTTTTATTTCTTAAAACAAATATTTGGCACCTTTGTATTGCAATCATTTATCGTACTACACTAAATCAACTAGGCAGGTCGTAAGTACTGAAAGAGCTATCTTTATAATAAGATCAATCAAACATCTTTGTATTAGCTTATTAAAATAATGAAATATTTAAATATCAACGGCAAAGCGTCAAGTGGCGACAACTATCACGGTCACGGGCTCGGGATTGAGTAAGAAACTTAAGATCCGTATCCGTATCCGTATCCGCGGATCTTGACACCAAATATCCGTATTCGGATCCGTATCCGCGGATATACTTTGTTAACGATCCGGCACATCACTAGTATAGTGCATAACTATACTATATATTTATATAGTATAGTCAAAGTGCATAACTACTTAGACTTATATAGTTATGCACTTTGATCAAATAAACTTTCTGTCAAGGTAAAATTGATTAAATAATTATACAACATTCTGTGCAGAGTTTTACTGGTAAGTATTAAAGCGTTTTACATTACTTGACTTTAATTTTAAGAAAAATAAGCGTATATCCAAGTTAAAGCCGAAGAATGTAAAAAACTTAAGGCCGAATAGTAATAGGTAATCATAAAAATACTACAGTAGGTGCTCTACGGATTCATGGATCATGTTTCCAAGTGCGAGGTTCCTAAATTAAAACTAAAATATGTTGATTGAAGCACTGATTAAGATGATGCAATTTATAATTATTTTTTCGTTCTTTTAAACAACAACCATATAAAATGGATATTCTCAAAAAAATTGCGAGCAACTTCAACAAAAAAATTTATGGAGACATGTTATTTTATTTAAATATGTTGGCATAGGTACATGTAAATAATGTATATAAGTATTATATTTCACCGATTTATATTGTGTATGTGGAATTATGAAATCCATAGGAAACTAAATTATGACCAATTTTAATATGGAATTACAAATTGTTGTGCTGTCCTTTTTATGCATGTTTGTTAAGTTCTCTGCGATCCATATTCCTAGTGTGGTAGTTTTATTATTCAGTTTTCTTTTTAATAAGTATTTATTTAATTTGAGAAATACCAATTTTAAAATGATTACTTCGTTACATACTTACATATTAGTTGATTTAAATAATAAGTTATTCTTAAAAGTTTTTGATTCAAAAAGTCTTAAAATTATTAAAAGAAAAAATAAAACCAGCTTGACAGACTACAAATAATACAAAACTAAGGTTCTGTAAATATGATTGTAAATCTTCCTGAATTTTAAGACGATAGTTAAAGTTAAAAGGCTCTTTAACGGGTGATAAAATCAACATTTAAAAAGTACGTATTGGTTTTTTCTTACTTTTAAATTTTGACAATATCTTAATATTAAAACTATCCAGAGTAGGAATTATTGAACACCAAAATCAAGCAAAAGCATAAACATACAAAGTAATACTACTCAAGCAAATCCTTAACGAGTAGAGCAATATGTTCATACATACCTCAGTTTAAAGAAAATATCGCAAAAGGAGACAAAGCGTCAATAGGTTCAGAATAGAACAGTTAGAATACGGAAATATGCAAAAACATATAAAAATGCAGAAGAAGAACAAGGAACTGGATTCCTTAAACCATAAGTAATTACAGTTTGAAGTAACCAAATTGTAATGCAGTCACGAGGGGAGATTGCTAACACCACTCAGTTATCAAGGGACTAAGGAATAATTGATGAAAGCTAATATAATTATATTTTCTAAAAAATGAGAACCTTTACTTGAAACATCAAGTTACAATCAAAGGTCAACATTTACTAAGAAAATACAAAATATTAGCTGTATATAAAATTGAGAAGGAAATTTGGACGGTGGAACACGTAATGGGCTAAACACAGATGACAGAACGATAATGGCGGCAGCAGAAATCTAATCTAAGGGATGCTACACAGAATCTAACTAGTACAATATCAATGGAAACACAAAATGATTTGTTAAATAAAAATAAAAAAAAAAGTTATTACGACAAACGATTTCATTTTGTAAGAAGAAGTACAAACTTTAAAATAATAGTAGAGACTTTGCGAATTAACAAAAGAACTTGTGTATGTGCGATTTGATACCGTTATGTTAAAAGGTGACAAAATTCTCGTTATGTCAATATTATTATTTAAAATAATATAGCTCCTGTAAATATGATAAACCAAATAAACATAAATTAAAATAACGTATGTATGTTTATGTATAGGAGGGGAACGGGTTTGGATGCAAGTGGTGTACATAATTCATATTCACAACAATTAGTACACAACATCAAATCGTGCACAGTAAAGACAATACGAATGAATGATACATATTTGGAAATATTTTTGGGTAGTCAAGTTCCATTATACTGTATCGTTCATTCTTAAGTTTATCCATACTATGCGCTGCGAATTTTGCATGAATCTCGGCTCGCACCTGTATTTGTTCGAATGGTACTTCAAAAGTAAATGACTCGTTGTAATAGGGATTCAGTGTGCATTTCTTGATACTTGTTTTCTTCTTCTTTAGACGCTTGCCGTTTTGCATGAGAGCTATCTTTACGTACGGATCTATCCATAGCCACCACAGCAGGAAAATATGAAAAGACAAAGATACATTGATTAATTGTATTTTTACTTACAAATATTATTAGTTAGATAGTAGCGATGACAATAACTTCGTGTGTGTATATATGAGTTATAAAAGCAAAATTTAGAAAAAGAATTATGGTAAGACAATAAAAGTTGATTTGCATTCTTCGACCTCTATTGTATAATAAAGACTTAAGTACCTACATTAATGAATTGTACTAAAATAAAAGCTCGTATGAATTTAATTTAGTAATCAATGACATTTAACGACGATGTCGACAATTCTGGCATGCTTCGAATTACAATAAAAATTAAATCAAATTAAATGTTCTAGACATATTAACTTTACCTCTACTAACAGCGTCATGCAGAATTTATGATATATATTTTTAGTATTTTCAAAAATTGTCAACCTTATTAAGTATTAGACAAAGTAATTGTCAGAATGAAGTTGGATACAAAACACTTTTTATCGCCCTTTTAAACTTAAGCATATAATTTTTTTCATTCACTTTATACATCTGTGCCGTTGTGTTATATTTGATGATTTGTGTAATGATCTATTGTTGGTGCACTATAATGACTTGACGACGTGAAAGAATAAAAGTTTAAAAATAAATAAACGAATATAAGTGTTTGAGAGAATAAGACTTTTAATTAAAAGAAGATCAATTTGTAAGTACATAACATGCTATGTATAAAAGTTTGACTACATGACTACAAAATAATTTAGCCTAGGCTATATAAATATATACAAATTACTTAGCAATTAGAAAAGTAACACATTGTAAATAATTTACCCTAAAATCCCTGTGAAATTAGACAACAGTATAATAAGTGTGTTTTGGTTTAGTAATGGGCTACAAGATCTATTTAAATGTAAAATGTTACCTGATAATCCACCGACATCCATTTTCTTTAAGTTCTTCGCTTCTAAAATGACAACAGTAAGTTTGCCAGCCGTTGGTACGTAGCGCAATGAGAAACAAATATCTCCCAACTTGTTGTCCTGCAATATTTAACGTCTGGAGTCACAATACGCTCTGAGAAGAAAATTGATTTAGGTACCTGAACCTTACTTAAAAACTTCTTCATAATGTTGTTATCAGGAACTTCTACACCCTAGAATAATCGTTGTGTAATTATTTTGTAATTTGTGACGTAGTTTTATTGTAATACGTATTGATTTTTTTTCCTGTTTTTCTAATACATAAATATACCATATAACTTGTTTGGGTGTCAGTTGTATGGAAGATAGTAGAGGAAGAATTGTGTTAGGATTATAGCGTTCTGAGATTAGGTTTATAAAGCTTTTTATAAAACATAAATAACATGGGCCATAAATAACGCGGCTTAGGGCGGACCAGGGCACTCAAAATCTTGTTTTACGAAATAAAAAGAAATAATCATAACAATAGCTTCGTGTAGACCTAGAAGCGTATTTATGGTTGTTAGTTCATCGGCACAGGGTTTCAGTACATTACAAGTTTCAATATAGTAACTTTTTTGAATAGTAAATTAATCATAAACCAACTGAAAAACTGAGCCGACTCATGTGTTTAGGACGATAGCCCATAAACAGTAGAGTTTAATAGCCTCGAACAGAATGAAGTTTGCAGCTAATCATATGCACATTTGACGAACACTTCATTGCGTTACATATAACGTTTTAGCACATAGATATTATCATTTCATCTAAAATATGAAGTTAAAGACGATACATTTATTTTGTTATTATGTCTAGACGAATAAAATAAATATATACATCAACGTTCGTATCAAACTTACTATTAAGCAAACGTCTCCCGTTGAAATATATAAATTAATACTGGTTGTAGAATATAAGGGATGTAATTTATTACGATCTGTTGCCGAAATGAAGCCAATTTTCGATTTTTGTGACACCCAGCTCAGATCATCAAATGCAAAAAACATGTTAGCTCACCTTTCCTAAACACTGCTGCCATTTCTGTATCCTAACTAATTACCTAGAAATTATAATTTACAATTTCTCCCTTGAATGGTGTGCACACAGTCTGTAAGAGAGACTAACCATTTTAGAAACAGATCGCAATTAGCTAACAATACACATAGGTAGGTACACAATACATACATACAACATATACAAATGATCCATTGAGGAATATATTTAGTAGCAATACAAATGGCTTACAAATTTACGTGTCTATGTCCTTTGAGTTGTATTATTAATTTGTTATACTTGTAGTAAATATGTATGTTTATTTCTATCTGATCACTCACTGATTGCTGCACAAGTCGGAAATATATAAATATAAATGAATATAATATAAAAGAATATAAATGAATAAAAAATATCGCTTACAACAGTAAACTCCCATTTTAAACTCGAATAAAATATTTATAAAAAATTTTTACAGGGATTTCCTATTGATTTGACTTTTTAATAGACAGACTTGTGAGACTGTTGCTTTTAGTTATATATACTAATCCCATGCAGTGGTCTCATATATTACAGATAAACATATATCACAAGTTTGTAAACCACTTTATAGTTTTAACATATTTAGTCAGTCCTTTTCGTTTCAAAGGTATCTATTACTCAACTGAAACTTAGTGAAAGTAAGGATTTAATTGCAAGTTTCAGTAAGAGTTTTAAAATCATTGGTCATAAATACGATAGAAAGATAGTGTGAAAAATGTTTGAACAAAAATAAAATTATCCCAAAGTACACTTTCATTAAATCAAGTAATTTACAAACAAGAAATCGTTTCCTCAATGAATCCTTTAGCAGTATAAACATATTACATACACCGAGGGGTGCTTTGAGAGACAGCACACTAAACAATTAACATTTATACACATCATTAACGTACTAGTGTAATAATGAGGTGCTACATAAGCAGCGCTGTGAATCATTGATAACGGTGTAATCTAAAATATGTTCTTTCAGAGAAAGGAGCCCTAATGTTGTAACGAGGATATACGTCCAGTAATAGGGAATATGCACTTGACAATGGACGAAATATTTTTATTTGTAATGTAAAATGTAAATAATTAAATGTAATCTATATTGCTAAAAAACATACCTTTAAAATATCATAATTTAATAGTGACATTTAACCACAAAACAAAAAGTGTCTTTTTTTAAATTCCTTCGTAAATTTCCAACGCAACGCTATTGTTGGAACACAAAGTGACGTCAACTTACACTGTTTTCATATACTTGCATCTTTCGGCATAAGGAAATGTACTTTGTCAGGTGAGTTTTGACAAAATATTAATATTATCCTGTGTATAATATTATTTTCAATGGTAATAAGTTGATCTTATCACTCACCTTTTTAATTTTCAGTAACTTTGTGAACCAAACACTTCGTTATTGACATCGAACTCGTGTGATCTGACGTCACAAAATAAGTGCGACAAAATGGCCACGTTTAAATTGCCCAAAAGTGATAGTATTTTTTTTTGTTTAATGGTTTTTATTTCCAATGTGTTATATTTATTTTTGGCAATGTAATAACTAGTAGAAACGTTTAAAAAATGAGAAATGGTGTGAGGATCTATGGACCCCTGGTCGGAACAAAGTTCATAATTATAGCAAGAAGTGTCGGAAAAAGGTCTTGTTACACATTTTGCGGTCTCGCTCCCATCAAACTTCGTTAAAAAAAACATGCATATTCCCTATTTCGACAACGTAATCTTTTGCTAATATAATAATATATTTCTACCTAAGTTATGATCTTAGATTGCTTTTAAGAATTGCTTCATTACATTTTTAAATTGTAGTTTGGGACTTTTTACCAATTTTTTTTAAGATTTGTAAACGAATAACCAAATTGTTTTTCACAATTCAATTAAAAATTGCGAAGTGAATTAAATGACGAACGAACGAAGCGCAATTAAAAACTTTTCATCAATTCATATAATACAAAAAAAAACTATAGTCACGTATATTTCAGTAAACTGCTAATGTTAATCACTTCTGCTTTAAGAATAGTTGTTAATACCCGAACAACAAACAAAAGTAGGTACACATACAAACTCTGCAAGTTAAATAAGAGAAAGTTAAATAACTAAAACAAGATTCTATTGTTATTAAATAAGGTGTGCAACTATCGTAGTGATTATTATACTATTGTAATAATATATTCTTACAAAATTTTGACTGTATGAGAACGAGATTTACCCATGAAGTATATTTTAAAATCATGTAAAAACTAATGTTTGTATGTAGGTATGTTCTCTATGGCATCCAAAATAGTTATAGCGATTTAGATAACTTTTTCAGTGTTTTGGTCATGAAATCATGTAAATTGAGTGGTTAGGTTAGGTTAAAAGTAATAAACCACCGAAATTTTTGGTAGTGAGTCAGAAAAGTGTAATGGTAGTGAATTCCTTTTTTATCATACTTAATTGAACTTGAATCAGTTGAATGACTAGCTTAACAAAGTTGGATCGTTGTTTCATTCCGTCGTGTATACCTATGGTTATGAAAAAATAAATATGCTCAATAATAGAAAAATCGTTTTAAATAATTAACATGACCTTATCTTTCGAGTGTAATTTTGTAATTATTGATAAAAAAAATATTGTATTATTCATTAGCAAAAGATAACATTAGCTATGGAACCAACAGAATTATCAAAACACGTCTTATTTTAATAACTCTGTTTTAACTTAGAACATAGTTTAGGTGGACGAAACACATTGCTGGGATGGCAAATATAAAAAAATAACCTGAAAATACTTTTTAATTCTGACGTTGAAAATAAACTATTAATTACTTTAATATTAGTAATCAGTTATTACTTTCCCTTTAAAGTAATTGCATATTGAATAAAATCGTCATTGATTTAAATAGCTTTGTACACTTGATTGCTTGACTCGTGTATAGAAAACACTTACACAGAGTAATTTTTGAAAAGTATACCTACACGATCTCTTTTGTAAAAAATGTTGTTAATCTCGAAAAATAATTATAAATTTCATTAAACCTCAAACAATGTGTTCCTTCTCTACACCATTATCATAAACATGCAAATAAGTACATATTGGTTCAATAAGATCAGTATAGTTCTTCATTCGTCGGTCAGAAGATGACCTGCAACATATTTTAATAAATGTATTGTTAATTATTGTTAATAATAACTGTAGGTGTAATGTTAAACGTATTTATTATAATGATCAGTGAACTGAAATATATTATTACGCAAGGAAACATTTGTGCGACTGCATGTATAAATTTGTAATTTTGGGTAAATTTTGTAAAGTTAAAGTGTTTGTGGAACCAATGTACTTATAATTCTGAGTACGAGTGAATCACATCAATACATAGCCAATTAGTACGTGTATCACACATAAATCTGTAAGGTCATGTTGTTCTCATTCATTGTTGTTGACGAGAATCAAAAATGACAAGACAGAGAAATATACGATGACGAGCATGCAACATTCCCCAGCCGCAATATAAAATTAAAATAAAGTGTCAGATGGAAGAACATAAAATGACAAATTAAAAAAATAATGTGTTATGACGGGTGATTACAGGTAAAAGGTGATTACAGAATTCGAAATGTGGATTATATATGTTCTAAAAATGCTTCCTATCGTCCTACGTACAATCAACGCAATTTGTAAATAACGGCCCAATTCTTTTACATATGACTTACAAATCGAACCTCTGTTATGGATTGGTTAAAAAATTTAACCACTTAATAATTTTATAAAGGAAACACTTATTTTGAGTAAGGTTTGTTATTCATTATCAATAGATAATCTTGATGTGTCTCAAAATAATACTTACGTGAATGATCATTTCGTTTTTGAAGCGGCATGCAAGATTGTTCAGGACACAATCAAACACAGCCAAGCAGAGCAGAGAAAATATGGAGAAAAAGAGAAAAACCAAGTAAATACATTTTTGCTGTCGAAATTAATTTATCAAGAAAATAAATGACGACTCAATCCACATTGAGGTGCCTTGACTCCCAAAGATTTCCTCCTATGAACATTTGTGAAGTTTCTACAACATTGTTCAGCGTCGTCAAGGTCCCTCTGAATAAAAAAGTGCAGTAAAATTGAAAAATGTTACCATTCTTCCAATTAATATTTCAGTTGCAGCAATAATCACAAAATTATGTTATTTATCAAGTATGATGTTTAAAATAAGTGCCATTTTCCTTTTGTAAAAAATTCTGAATATATTGTGTGCATTAATTGGAAAAATGGAGGTATGTTTATTAAAATAACGCTGTTCTACCAGAACACATTCACTTTACGAAACATAGAAAACTTATACTAATAATGTTGAGTTTGTCGTGAGTATGTTTTGGCAGTCCAGCCTAAGCTAAGAAAAAAAAGATAAAATAGTCTCCTCAGTTTATTTTGTTTCGGATATTTCGTTTCTGTTGTATACTTAAATCTAAATGTGCAATAATTGAAGTTAGATATGATGCTCCTAGTTGTGTGAATCAGAATGACTGTTGATGTGACCTGGGTGTGATTGTATAAACTGTAAATTTTACCAATTGTAATTTGATGCAACACCTACCTACATTACAGGAAATGGTTTGCATAGTTTTAAGTAATAACGAAGATAAAAGTTACTTAACTTTATGGCCCAACGTGCTAAAAAATACCTAAAATAAAGCATTTTAGAAAAAATTGACTCCTGCTACGCGCTAATACCGATTACTCAATAATATAAACTAAAAACATAAAACACCAAAGATAAATTATTCATACCAAGTATTGAGATGGCTGCTGAAAAGTTAATCCTTATAGAAATTAAATGGCAATGCATAGACATTGCACCTACACACATTTTTGTTTTATAACTACAAAGTTTATCGCCATTATCTTTTTTCAAATACCTTAATCCCTCGTAATGACAACTTCAAAATATTTCAAAAACCTTAATTTGTACAAGGCACTTGTTTAATTCAAGGCGAACAATATTATTTGATATATTTTTGTGTGTGTTTCCGCACCTGACCCCCTTCGCCTTCAACGCTCTGCAACTCACGCCATTCTTCAATAGTTTGCGCCAAGTCTACCTGGCATAGCGGCACTTTTACCTCACCGATCTGGTCATGTTTTGAAAATCGGTCAAAGTCAAAAATTGCGAACACGAGTGTCTTGTTCATAGCGTCAGCGTAGGGCACGTTCTGCACAAATAAAAAAGAAGGGTTACGTAGTTCGAAAATGTGTAAAAATTGCCTTGCTTATTAGCTACACTCACCTTGAACACAAAAGTCTCATTAAAGATAGGGCTCAAAGTCTTTCGATGTACTTTCGTTTCAAATTTCTTCTTCTTGTCAGGGAGTAAGTAAACTTTGACATAAGGATCAGAGGTTCCGCCCATATCCAGTGCAGGTAAGTCTTCGGCTTGAATAACCGTTACTGACAAACTATTGCTGTTGAAATCATACTCCAGCTGCAAAACAAAAACTTATAGAAATAAGAATAAAATGATTATAGCTGCGATTTGCAAGGAATCAAATAAAGCTGTCAGTTGTAAATTTGCTGTAAATAAAAAAAGAGCACTTAAAACAAAACAATGATTCTTTTATTTGTAACGGGCGAAGATGAGGTTATAAATTGTTTTACGAGTCAAGTAAACGAATTAGTGATGACGCGAAATAAAATGTCAAAGAATAAAGATTTTACAGTATATGGAAACTGAAGAGGTGTTGATTGGTGAAGAGTTTTCTAAAATTTACAAACCGATTCGTTCACATTTGACTCTCCATGTTTCCTTCTTATATAGGGCAATGTTTATGACCAACCTTGTATTGAAGTTTTCCTAGTTTTTGTTCCTCCTTCTTTGAATCGCCGTCATCAGGTTCCTCGGCATTCTCCGTGAGCTCCTCCATGTCAGGCTGAACCTACATGCATGTCCCGCGGCAAATTTCACATGAAAATCTTATTTCTTAAAAATAGAGAAGACTTTCAATATCATGTCCCATTTGTTGCCATGCTGTAGCATAATAATATACTAAGTGATATTTATTTCTATTGTAACTGATTCATAATTCATATAACTAGTAGCACGTATTATTCATAATGTAATGTTATTATTTTAAGGGTTTCGAAATAGAATCAGTTTGTTATGCGGCTGTCAAGATTCTATTTCTCAAGAATGCGTTAAGGGATCAAGTATAAGTATATAGTAAGTAATATACATCTACGCACTGATATTCGTCTTCAAAAGTCAAAAATTTCGAATTAAACTAACGTTATTAAATGGAAAAGAGGGAATTCAAAATCCAAAGGGGTATCGTTACCTTATCAGTATGATCGAATAAATTAAAAGACTCCAAAACATTACCTTCTCTTTGTATGCGGAACCAAGGAGCTGGACGGATTTGAGGTCAACACCTTTCATTCCTTTTTTGCCATCCTTGGAGCGACGTTTACGGAAACATCGCCTGATGCAGCAGAAACATATTCCAAGCACCACCACTGCGACACCTACGAAGAAGTTAAGCGTTATTGATAGGATCTTAAGTTTTGCTTTAATTACCATGCAAAACATTCAACTAAAATAGGATACCGATATGTAAAGTCCATGATCTAAGTATGTTATCGATATTAAAATTAAACAGATTTAGAAGGATGTCTGAAATTGATTTATTTTTATGTCCTATTAATAAAATACTTAGAAACATATAATCGTACACTTTCAACTACATTTAGATTTGAATAATTAACTTCATGAAACGAAATCCTAAAACAAATTTACTAACTTAGTAATTTCTTTTAGGATTTCGTTTCTCAAAAGGAAAAAAGGAACTCTTAGAATCACTTTGATATCCGACTTTGTCTGTTTGTCAAGATTCGTTTTCTTTGTGGGTCAAGTTGATATTAACAATAATAAAATTATATATCCCTGAAACACACATGCACAAATACGTCTATGCACGCGCACGCACATAAATTTATCATTATTAAGCAATTGCATTGTTGTAAAATTTTATACATTGTTTCTAATTAAAATTCTAAAAGTGTTACAAAAGAAATAAATTAATCAGGCTCTATGTAAACAATAATAGGTTCCTAGCTCCCAAACTAGCTACTACTAATACCTCCCAATTCACACAATTTTATGTAATAGGGGGCTTGGAGATCTACAGTACAGGCATCGGTTTGGATTTGACTCCAGATCGCCCACAAATTACAAATTTCTTAACAAACTTCTTGTCTGATGTATGTTGTAAAAGATTATGTAATTTGTGTCGATGAAATAAATATTTTTATAATTATACTAGCGGACCCGACAGACGTTGTCCTGTCAAATTTGACACTGCGATGGTAGCGCCGTCTGTCTGATCCAATGTAAAACATTCCAAAATCAACAACTACTAATAAATTAAAAATTAATTAAAAAAACATTGTCCAGCGGACAAAATTGTGAAACTAAACCATTCCCAGATCCCCTTGAACACACACAAAAAATTTCATCAAAATCAGTCCAGTCCAGTCCAGTCGTTTGAGAGAAGTTCAGTGACATACACACTCACAGAAGAATTATATATATAAAGATTATTATTTGCATTCCAGTTTATGAGAAAAATTCTTTTGTAAATGTATAGATATTATTTGCAGGCTTATTTACTTTTCATCATGGAATACAATTTAAGATGTAAGGAAGAGGTGGAAGTCTTAGAACTCAATGGGCTTTCTATTTCAATATTTCACCTATCTCGTGTAAGGGAGCACGATTATTTCATTTTCCTGCTTCAAGTACTTGAAATTTACGCCAATAACCTCAGTAAATAATGTCAACAATAAACTGGAATTATCCACAATGCTTAATAAAGATGATTTAATATTTAGATTAACCTTTGGTACCCATTTTGTTAGATTGCCATTATTGAAATTGTAATGATAGTGAGTTCTACAACAATTGTATAATTTACCTCACTCATAGTGAAATACTTTTAGATAGACTTGTAACATATTGCTTTTTGTTACGTGCTTTTTGTGTAATGTGTCCTATTAATATAATTTATATATAGTTATAAAGCTGGTTAGTTAGTACTTAAATCATGTAAATCTTACCGACAAGGATAGCGACAAGCTGCCATGTTTCCATGTTCATCTTGTGCGCCAATTCAGCGGTCTTCTCGCCAATCGTCTCTTGGCTCGGAGCCACCGTAGAGGTCGTTATCGGCATCGAGGTCCCGCCTTCCGTCGATGCTATAATATTTTAGCATATTTCAGAATTGTGACATGGGTCAACTTTTCACCGTCCTCTGGTTCTCACATAATTGAAAAGGAAGGAAGTATAAAGGGAGAGGCAGGTAAAAGGAAAAAAAAACTTATACGATTGAACACAAATTCATACCTGTCACTCGAACCAGCTGTTGTCGGGAAGTCTGAACTCTCGAACATTAATATGTGTTTTAAATACGTTACTCCTGCTTAATTGGTTAATATTTGTTAAAAAACAATGCTTAATATTTAACTAAATAATTTTGTAAGCTCGGAAAAAAAGCAGGTAGTAATCCTTTAAATTTAAGTAATTGTAAGTTAAAAGGGGGATAATAATATTCAGACTTTTTTTCGTATTCTTTTTCTTCTAAACTAGGTTGGGGTCGGCTTTAAGTCTACTACGATACGGCTGAACGTCAATTTTTTTCGCGGAGTAACTGCCATTAGACGTCCACAATCCAAGTAGGTAGGTAGTAGGCGGTATCGAAAGTCTATAGAAAGACTGTTGTCGGCATTTTAAGGCCTCCAACTACCCGTAACGATTGCCACAGATGTTCGTATGGCAACAGGGACGAATAGCTTAAGCTTTCCGTGGCACGGAGGGGTCTCAATGAATTAAAAATGGTCACCAATCCACAGACTGACCTGGCTTATTGCTTAAATTTGCAATGTGTTAACCCACTCGGTTACCACTTAGCTACGAGCCCTTTTTTTCGTACATTTATCTATATGTAAAAAACATAATGAATAGCGATTTATTTAATAAATAATCAACTGTCTTTGTTCTCTTCTGTTTTTAGCAAATAACGGAACATGTTAATCTACACCGAATTAAGAATCCCCGAATTCTTAAGACAAAGACAAAAAATAACTACATATTTTGTACAAATCTGCACAATGATATAACGCCAAACAAATTTAACCAAGGAATTAGATAAACGTAAATATTCAAAAGATGAAATTCAGCATGAACTTTGGTAATATAGTACAGTATTTATGGGTAATACTCAATTCCAATTATTAAGGTGACTAATACTTTCATTTATATTTGGCAAATAAATCATGACTAGAAAAAAAAAAATTCTATTCTATTCATAATTTCAACCTTTCTCTGATCACCCTTTTGAAATTGCTACTTTTAACTTACGCTTTTTTACATGCTGATCAAAAAAGAAGGAAGTATAAATAAGGTTGTTGTGTACTTATTTAAAAAAATGTAATTTACAATTTAATTCTCGTTACATCCTTACATCGATTATGCCTGAAATAAAAATAAAACAGTGGCACTCCGGGAGTGCCGACAGAAGTAAAAACTTGAAAGTGCCGATATAATTATACTCGTATATCTATGTTGTAAGTACATACACAATATATGTTTATATTATATATAGTTAAACGCGTGTAAACGGGCCAGTACCTATATGTAGATACTTAGGTATATACAGGGTGTCGGTAACGGTAACAGTGTCGCGAGTTCAATGGTTTTTCCCATCTCAAAAAATACATTCTTTTGATTGTTGTCAAAAATGCCCAACGCGCCTAAAGAACTTTTCACTTCAAAAAATATCTTTGGATCATTTAGGTTTTTTTATGGTATAGGAAGGCAAACGAGAAGACGGGTGGATGTTAACTACCACCGCCCATAGACACCTGCAACTGAAGAGTTACAAGTGCGTTGCCGCCCTCTGAGTCCTACCCCCAGAATCAGGGAGGGAAGGGGGGAGGGGTTTTGGGCTTCGGTAACCTTCATTCATACATATAACAACAGAGTAGCTTAACACCGGTTTTTGTGAGGCGATGAGGCTCCAGTCGAGCTGGCCCATTTGTGCTGAAGCATGGCTGTCCCGGTTCAGTTCAACAATGAAAGAAAATAATTAATATGTAATGGATATGACATGTAGCCTTGTATCACAAGGCGTCTTGTGTCTGTATCGCGCATTTTTTGACAGCATCTTTTTTATGGTCTTTAAGGAACTTGCGTTTTTTATACATACGAGTATGACTTTAGTGGCAATTGTTGAAGTGTATGTATATGTAGATTTACATAAATAACCCATTTTTTATCGGTCATCCACTAACGTCATAAAATTGTTCTCGAACACCCAACCGTAATCCGTACCGTACCACACGCCTACACTTTGATTATGTTTGATTCCGCTACTGTATAACTAAATTTAGCTAAAATACATAATTTATTCAATACGATGTATATTTCCGACAGGGCTTTTATCAAATTAAAGTTTACGTAACAATACTTAATATGAAGAATAGGGCAAATGTGTAGTAAAATAAGAAGTAGTAGGTATATTACATGGTATGCAATAATAATGGACTTACTGATTTCTTTCGTTGTAGGTGTTGTGGTGGGCTCTTCGGGTGTTTCGCCGGGCACATCGCGCCGCCACCGTAGCAGGGTATCCAGCAGCGGTGACATGATTACCTGCACAATTAATACACAAATCTCAAGATTGTAACTTATATAGATATGAATATTACCTATAATAAGATATGAAGGTAAGGTCTAATAAAGGAAATACGTTTGTTGTTGCTGCCGTTGTCGCCGTTTTTCAACATCTATTCAGATGTGGAGGTAGATACCACTTCATATCAATTTAGTTTATCTGTTTCTGATTCTGATTATAAAAAGTTTCGAGAAATTCTTTCTTTTTCATATGGGTCCTACCGTCGCCTCCGAATTAGTAGCAGAAACTTAAAAAATCATTTGAGGTCGCCCCATGCTTATCCCCAACCAAGAATCTAGGGAAGGGGAGGTTTGGACTCCAAAACCTTAGACACTCGGTGAAACGTAACGAAATAACGGCATCTTCGACTTATTCAAAGTTCAAATTCTTTAACAAATCGAGTGCAAAGTTATTCAAACCTTGCTATAAAAAGTTAGTGCATACTAAGGAATGCTGCATTTGCTTAGTAATAGCACTGCTACAATCACCTAGTTTCTCATGGAGCAATAATTCACTCACGTAGCTCGTATTGTAGGTTCCTTTCATCCTATTAGTATTTAATTTTAGTTCTTGCTCTGGCATTGATGGTGTGAGGGCAGTTAGGGTATGGTCATTCAGAATTTATAACATGCGCATTCAATAACTTGTATTTAAATTCACTCCCCTAAATAGTTTTCTTAATAATATCGTTAATAACTTATTTTTATTATAGCTAACATACAGTGAAACTTATAATACTTTTTACAATATATAAGTATAAAACACTTATGAGTATGAACTGGATACTAAAGGTCGTTTATATTGTTTGTCTTTGTCCCTGAAAAACTTGCCTGACCTACAAACTCCGCCCCCGATTATTGGTACGCCTTTTAATTTTCTTTTTACGAATTTGTATTAACTAATATCTACATCCAATGCGTACAACACAAGTTACACTTTGGTCACGTAACGCTACTATACGTTCTGATATGCAAAGGGTTTTACTCAAATCTATAATTGGATGAACTTCGTCTAGATGTCTGCATTTTTGCATTTGGTGAAAACCTTGACAATTTTTAATAATTTTCAGAATAAGTTGTAAGTTCAAAAACACATGGAAAATTATTTTACTTTCGATATGAAATAGTAAATGAAGTTATTTAAGACTGCTGTATATCATTATTGCAGTACTCAATGAAGAGTTTCGATCGCGCTTTTCCGACATAGACAATAGTACATCACTAACCTTGTATATGTTCCTCTAGCGATGTCCTTCTCACTTGCTTTAGTTATAAAAACTGTAGTAGTCACTTTGCACGGCTTTGGTACATTTCTGTCGAATATTGTAATCAACTGGAAACACCATTCGGTTCTGAAGCCAGGATGGCGATGTTGCGCGCGCATACGATCGATTGCCGCTGCGCGATGCGATGCCTTTCTACGTTTAGTTCCTGGCCAAGTCCCGATGTTTACGTCACTAGTTGCGTACATTGACGGCCAAGCTTAAAATCCTAATGGTTCAATGTACGAGTTACTCGAATAATTGGTAAAACATTTCTTCATGGAAATAAAGAGCCTTTACTTAAAGTGCTAAAAATACTTGTATTTAGTATTTAAAATGAATAAAAAAATAAAATATGGCTTTAAACTGCTACTAACCCTTTGAACTTTGAAGCTGGATGTTAGATAATATAATACAAATAATTTTACGTAATATACCCCGAAATCACTATAAACTTCTTTTGAAATGAAAGTGTTCTCACATTATGTGTGATTTAAAATGTATTTTTTAGTAATTCGTTAATAGATCCTAGTAGTATATTAGGGTCTTAACAGAACTTGTTTTAACAATTTTAAGCTGCCCACCTAATTTTTAAACCGTTCATTGAATTGTCATACATAGGACATAACATAATTATTAAATTCAGACATAACATGTAAGTTAGTCGTTTAGTAATGTTTTGCTTTTATTAATGTTTTGAATCCACCATATTAGTTCAAATATTTTTTTCTTTGAAGTTTAGCTTCTGTACATTTGTGATTTTATTTTTATTTATTTAATTCTTTTTGCACAGGCATTTTCTTAGTCTACCTTTGGGTGGTGGGGAAATGTCTGAGTAGGTGCACTAGAAATTAAGTTTTATATCTAACGAGATAATAATAATTGTGGTTAAGGACCAGGCAGAGCGAGTGTGACAGATGTACATACATACATACTGAGATACTCATACATTTATACTGCTGAGTTACATACATACATGTAATGCGCTACACAAAACTTACTTTATATTTAGTTAGATCATTTTAAATTACTTTGTAGATTTTATTGATATTTTATATATTTACAATACAATAGTATTTCAATAAAAAAAATTAGATGCTTATATTTTATGTTGGAACACCAACGCATCACGGCAAATGTCACAGGTAAATTTTATTAAAACCGTAGTGTAGGTTTATACTTTCTTGAAATTCACGAGAATAACTTGACGAAAGAAAATTAATTGATAACTTCAAGTTAGTTACATAAAGTTATACATTTTAGCTAAGTTTTATATAAATTTACCTACATCAATTTATGTATAAAATTAATGATTAAAATTGGTTTACATTAAACAAAGCTACGGCTAAAATGAGACCGTACTTAAATTAGACCACAATATTTACTATATTCATACACTCAGTCCCTTAAAGGTGTATGTTAGCGAGGTACCCTTAAAGAGATTGGTTTACTGTTTAGTTTAGAACTTCCACTTTACAGAGACACGACTTTTGTTTCGCAACAATATCGGTTTTATCGGTAATAAATCAGTAGTATACCAACGTAAAAGCAGGTATAGCAAAACGATACCTTATGTCATGAAAATTTAACACAAATGTGATATGCTGTTGTTTATCTGATTATATTTTGCTTTTTAACTCCCACATTTTGCTACTATAACTTGGCCCCACTTACGGAAAGGGGGAAACCAATTGCCGGCAACCGGGCAATAAATAATAAAAAGCCGTGTGGTGTCGTGGGACACCCGATAGGAACGAAGTTGTGACGATCGAGTAAAACTGATTTGACACGATTTTAATTACAACGCCATCTATGAAAGCGGCTATTACCTACATATTAAAAACAATTAAAACAATTTATACATTGGTAAAATCTCCTTGCGAAATGATTTCGTATCTATTCGATAGATGGCGCTGAATGTCTGACAAGATGACACGAAAATAAAGAGCAAAAAGCCAACATCACGTGGTATTCCCAGGCGGTCACCCATCCAAGTACTAACCACGCCCGATGTTGCTTAACTTCGGTGATCGGACGAGAACCGGTGTATTCAACATGGTATGGACGTTGGCGAGCGTTAAAGCAAATTTAATGTATGGTATCCACAGTTAGACGTCAATTTATATTAATAAAAAAGTGTCGTTCCAAATTTTCGTACGAATTTTTTCCGTCTAGCCCCCTTTCACAACGCGCGATAAGGAACTTCGTTCCAATAAATAATTAAAAATTGGAAGTATGTTGAAAGGAAAGGTGATTAAGCAGGGAGGGCAATGGAAGAAAAGGGATTTAGTTTACGCGGGTGGGTTAGTAAGTTTAAGCAATAACGTAAACTTTCCTTGTTCTTATATTAATATACAAAGCAGATATGATATATGATATACCATTTGATACCTTACACTGAGCCTTTTTTCCCAAACTAGGTCGGGGTTGACTTTACTATGAACGACTGAACTATGATTTTGTACGCGGAGCCACTGCCATCAGACCTTTACAATCCAAGTTCTAGATACATTTCTGTAGAAAGACTGTTGTCGGACTTTTTAGGGCTCCAACTACCCGTAACGATTTCCACAGATGTTCGTATGGCAACCGGGACCGACAGCTTAACGTGCTTTCTGAGCTCGTGGTGGGCTCACAACGTGTTAAGAAGAGTCCATAGACATCCCAACTTTGCAATGTATTTACCTACTCGGTTACCATTTGGCCACGACCCTCTCTTATGTTTTTATATTGGTAAATAAGGCAGAGATTATAATATGCTATATCATTTTTCTCTGATATATCGTAGAAAAATAGTAGTCACGTTAGTTTTCAAGAAAGCATACACTTATGCTCTGGTTGCCTAAATACTAAAAAAGAATAGAGTAGTTCTAGAAAATAATGTATTTAAACAAACAAACAATCAAATAAAAAACTTCAAATTATAAACCCCAGGAATCGCCGAGACGCCGCCTCGCCCACGCAACAATTTAGTCTCAGGACAGTGACGGTTCATTTCACAATTATTATATTATAATACTATCTGATATCTTGACACTATAGAATCCACTGAAAGCTCTAGAAACGATGAAAAGATGATCATAAATATAGAAGGCCATTGTTTATCAGAAAACAGGTGTAAAAAGGAGTTACGTTGATGAAGGTTTATTGCGCAATGAAAACTATTGGCATTTTTAAAGTAAATAGTTCTGAATCTAGATTTATCTTGTACACACTGGTGGATTTATCACAGGAAACGTTCAGTGTCTTTAGAGAGGTTTCTATGAAAAAAAAACAGGCTACGAATTGATTTTTTTTAAATAGTTATATATAGATATAATAGTATATAATAGTTATATATAGATCTGAGTTTAGACTTACTAGCTTACGGATGATTTTCTATGAACTAAGCTCCTGTATTCTGTCTACATAAGCCTAGTTTTTTTTCGGGTTTCACAGAAGTACATCAAGTGTATTCTGAGTAGTGATGTGCCGGATATCCGTATCCGTATCCGTATCCGCGGATATCCAAGGGAGAAAGAGATCCGTAACCGTATCCGTATCCGTGACTTTTTTGGCGGATCTTTCAATACATAGATGAAATTCTATATAGGTGATTTTGTATTCACTGTAAAACTCTTAGGTAAGTGTTTGTAACACTATAAACAGCAATTTTTTTCTGGCCAACGTCAAAATGAAAAAAAATTGGTCCTCCATTCAAATGACCAATCAAATGTT